TTGGTAATAATACTTAACATGTTTCTGACAGGAGAGTTGAAGTGAATGCTGAAGACGAAGAAACTACTGTTGAGATGATCTTGGAAGAAGCAGCACGAGAAATTCACAAGTCATTAGGAGTGAGAATGCATAGGTTGGGTGTGTGCGAGTGGGAAGTGCGGCTGCGGTTAGCCTCCTTTGGACTGGCAAGTGGCGCTTGGAGGGTTGTGGTTGCAAACGTGACAGGACGTACATGCACTGTCCATGTAAGTTCAGCTTACAAATAAATGTTGTACAAACCATACAAAGAGTGAGGGTACACATCTCGATGACTTAACCTGCTGTGATTCGATTTTTTAGATATATCGAGAAGTTGAAGTGTTTGGGAAAGACAGTTTAATTTACCACTCACTAACGAAGAAGGGATCTTTGCATGGAACCCCAATCAATGATCAATATAAGCCACTAGGATATCTCGATAAGCAACGCCTAGCGGCAAGGAGGAGTAACACTACTTATTGCTATGACTTCCCGTTGGTTAGTTACTGAGTTCAGATGATTTCACACATATAGGTTTACTCTATTGGCTACTTCCAACCTCTCTTATGTTATTTCTTTCCTTTTCAGGCATTTGAGACAGCCTTGGAGCAGTTGTGGGCATCGCAACACCCGGGAGTTAAGAAACCATGCAAGAATACTCTAATCAATGTTAAAGAGCTTGTATTCTCCGATCCAGAAAGTTTTTCTCTTATTCCGGTTGAAAGACCACCAGGTTTCAACGAGTTTGGAATGGTAGCTTGGTGCCTAGAGATGTCGACTCCTGAGTTTCCTACGGGACGTAAACTTATCATAGTTGCGAATGATGTCACCTTCAAAGCTGGTTCGTTTGGTCCTAGAGAGGATGCCTTTTTCCTTGCTGTGACTAAACTCGCTTGTGCCAAGAAGCTTCCGTTGATCTACTTGGCAGCAAATTCTGGCGCCCGGCTTGGGGTAGCTGAAGAAGTCAAAGCCTGCTTCAAAGTTGGATGGTCGGATGAAGTTTCCCCTGAGAATGGTTTTCAGTATATATACTTAAGCCCTGAGGACCATGCAAGGATTGGGTCGTCTGTCATTGCGCATGAAGTGAAGCTGCCTAGTGGGGAAACAAGGTGGGTGATTGATACGATCGTTGGGAAAGAAGATGGTATTGGCGTAGAGAATTTAACCGGAAGTGGGGCAATAGCGGGTGCTTACTCAAAGGCGTACAACGAAACTTTTACTTTGACCTTTGTTAGTGGAAGAACAGTAGGAATCGGTGCTTACCTTGCCCGCCTTGGTGTGCGGTGCATACAGAGACTAGACCAGCCCATCATCTTGACTGGCTTTTCGACGCTCAACAAGTTACTTGGACGTGAGGTCTACAGCTCTCACATGCAACTTGGCGGCCCGAAAATCATGGGCACGAATGGTGTTGTTCAGCTTACAGTCTTAGATGATCTCGAAGGCGTATCAGCGATTCTTAAATGGCTGAGTTACGTTCCTGCTTACGTGGGGGGTCCTCTTCCTGTTGTTGCCCCTTTTGATCCACCAGAGAGAATCGTGGAGTATCTCCCAGAGAACTCTTGCGACCCACGAGCTGCTATTGCTGGGGTGAACGACGGTACGGGTAAATGGCTTGGTGGGATCTTTGATAAAGATAGCTTCGTTGAGACTTTTGAAGGTTGGGCAACGACGGTAGTGACTGGTAGAGCCAAGCTCGGGGGAATACCCGTTGGAGTTGTCGCAGTTGAGACGCAGACTGTGATGCAGATCATCCCAGCGGATCCAGGACAGCTTGACTCTCACGAAAGAGTGGTTCCGCAGGCAGGGCAGGTCTGGTTTCCTGATTCAGCAGCCAAGACAGCTCAGGCGCTCATGGATTTCAACCGGGAAGGGCTTCCGCTGTTTATCCTAGCGAACTGGAGAGGGTTTTCAGGTGGGCAGAGAGATCTTTTCGAAGGGATACTTCAGGCTGGTTCAGCGATAGTTGAAAACCTGAGAAGGTATCGTCAACCAGTGTTTGTGTACATCCCGAAGATGGGAGAGCTGCGTGGTGGAGCTTGGGTGGTTGTTGACAGCCAGATAAATTCAGATTACGTTGAGATGTATGCTGATGAAACTGCTCGTGGAAACGTGCTTGAGCCAGAAGGGATGATAGAGATAAAATTTAGAAGGAAAGAGATGGTACAGTGCATGGGAAGGTTAGACCAGAAGCTAATCAGTCTCAGAGCTAAACTGACAGATGCCAAGCAAAGCAAGGCTTATGAAAACATGGTGCTTCTCCAGCAACAGATTAAAGCTCGAAAGAAGCAGCTTTTACCAGTGTATACCCAAATCGCCACCAAATTTGCGGAACTTCATGACACGTCAATGAGAATGGCTGCAAAGGGAGTGATCAAAAGTGTTGTGGAATGGAGTGGCTCGCGGTCTTTCTTCTATAAAAAGCTCAACCGGAGAATTGCCGAGAGCTCTCTGGTGAATAGCGTAAGAGATGCTGCTGGAGACAACTTGTCGTATAAATCTGCAATGGGTTTGATTCAGGACTGGTTCTACAAATCCGATGTTGCAAAGGGGAAAGAAGAAGCTTGGACAGACGACCAGTTATTCTTTGCATGGAAGGACAATGTTAGTAATTACGAGTTGAATGTGAGTGAGCTGAGAGCGCAGAAACTGCTGAATCAACTTGCAGAGATTGAGAATTCGTCGGATCTAAAGGCTTTGCCACAAGGACTTGCCAATCTTCTAAACAAGGTATGAGATGAAACCATAGAGAAAAAACTGAGTTTTTGTATGGCTCGTTTTTTGGAGGCCTAAGTGAATATGGTGCGTTGCAGGTGGAGCCATCAAGAAGAGAAGAGCTGGTGGGTGCGCTTCGAGAGTTGTTGGGTTGATATAGCTATTTGCTACATCTTTCTGTTGTTTCTTACAGTCTCATGGTTGCGTTGAAGTTATCGCTTAGGATTTACATTGGTGAAGGTTTACATGATATTTGTTTGCTTTGGTGAAATTTTACATGATATTCGTTTGCCTTTGTAGTTAAGTCGATATCCATTATTCGTTTGCTTTCAATAATTTAAATGTTTTAATTTTATAATTTATTTAATAATATTTTTAAGTAAAATTTTGTCGATAAATATAAATTTATAATTTGTCTATATCATGTAGTTTTAGTTTTTGTATTGAAAGATTGATAAAATAATAATATATACACTGAACAAAAACTTTTTTTTATTCATGAGGAGCATATAACATATTAAAATTATTATTTTAGCGAATAAAGGCATGTTGTTTTGCAGTATAACCAATCTAAAATATTTTTGTGGTGAAATTTGTGACTACAAAATAAAATGTAAATATTTTTTGACATTTATAGATCATCAAGACATATAGCACAATTATTCTATAGCTTGTGTTTGTTTTTTCTCAAAGTCCCTAATTACAAAATAAACATCTAATCTTCTTAATTCAATTTAGGTTGAAATCTTTAATTTTAAAAAGATTTTAAGACATTATATATTATGTGGTTAATCACATCTTTGAAAATAGACTTATTTGCTTGTAGTATTTGATTTGTGGTAAAATGAATTATGTAGTTGATGATCTATTATTATGGAGGAGATGTGTGATTTTTAGACAGAGTTCGTTTTCAGAAGATGGGTGAAACAAAATCTTTAATAATGTAATGCATACAGGAATATTATATTCGAATTTTATGTGGTAATAAAAATGAGTTATGTTTGTACATTGTTGTATTGTTCTTGCTATTTTTATAGATTTTAGTAGAATCTATATTGCAGTTTTTGTTTGTGTGGATTGTATTTAGTTATCTTTATTATTTTTATTTAGTGTATTTAAATTTATTATTCTTTTTTTTAAGATTTTTTTCTAAATGTAAAAAAAAGAAAAAAAGTGACACATTACCTTACTATATTATATAAATTTTGTTTGAGTGTATGATTTTCGTTTCTGTTTGTTGGATGAAAGGAAAAAAATTAAAATTTGTTTTCCTGTTTGTTTGATAAAAGAGAATTCAATAGAAATAGTTAAAAGAAAAAGTGACACATATCAGTTTTTTAAATACCATGTGTTAGAATATCAGAACTGCTTTAAAAAAAAAATCTTTATTTTATTAGAAATTTATAATAGACAAATAGATAGATTGTTTCCGCTATTTATTGATTTTTGTAGAATCTAAATTGCAGTTATGGTTTTTATTTTATTTTTGTGGATTATATTTAGTTGTCTTTATTACTTTTATATAGTGTAGTTAAATTTCTTATTTTCTTTTTCTTGACCAATCTATAAGAATATCATGTGGCAGAAAATCAGAACTGCTTCTGAAAAAGTCATTACTTTATTATAATAGATAGATTGTTCACACTATTTATAGAATTTTTTTATAGAATCTATATTGCTATTTTGTTTTTATTTTTAAGTGGATTGTATTTAATTGTCTTTATAATTTTTATTTAGTATAGTTAAATTTCTTATTCTTTTTCTCTTAATCAGTATTTTTTAATTGTAAATATGTAGAATAAAAGTATGACTCATGTGAAATTATAAAGTGCTCCACATATCAAAGTTTATTCAAAAAAATATTACTATAATATATAAGATATATATAATTATATTTGTTATATATTATAATAATATCTTTATTGCAGTTTTTATTCTTTTAAGATTATACTTAATTGTTTTAATTATTTTTGTTTAGGTTAGTTGAATTTTTTCTATGTGTTTATAGTTTTTTTCTTTAAATATAAATGATACATTTGAGTGTTAAAAGTGCTATATGGCAGCATTTCAAAACTAACTCTAAAAAAACTTTATATATATATATATTCAGACAAAAATTAACCTCCCAAAAAATTGTATTGTACGAACTAATGCTATAAAGGATGAGTGGAACAAGTCTTTTTGTCTAATAATTAAAACGCTAGTTTCTCGAAATTAGAGAACCAATTATATACATTTATCCTTAAAAATAGGACAAACAACCTAAAAAAAAAGAGACGTTGAGAGAAAATGGGCCTTGGATATCTCTCCATTCAAGACACTATATAAAGCAGCAGATGCATAGTTAAAATCTCAGAAAACCAAAAAAAAAAAAAAAAAAAAAAAAAAAAAAACAAAATAAATATAATATATTAAATAATGGGTTCATATTTCGGAATTTCGACGATTTTGGTTCTATGTTTGCTGGGATTTTCGGCCAATGCTGAGGTGTTCAACGTTCCTGGGTCTCCAGGATCTGATATTACTCCGGTTAGTTTAATACGACTGCTTTTCGTTTCTTGCGAGCCAAGCCATCTATATATAAACCGTTTCTTGAATTGGGGTTTGAATGCAATGTAGGCACTTCTGAAAGCATTCACATCGGCATGCCAAGCTCCGACACCGAGCAAGGTGGTGATCCCAAAAGGTGAGTTCAAGCTTGGCGAGATCGCGATGACGGGTCCATGCAAGGCTCCAGTGGAGGTGACCCTGCAAGGCACAGTCAAAGCTGACGGTGGCTCTATCGCTGGAAAGGATAGATGGGTCGTCTTCGAGAAAATTAATGGGTTTAAGTTGAACGGAGGTGGAACATTTGACGGTGAAGGCAATGCAGCTTGGAGGGAAAATAACTGCCACAAGACCTTCCAGTGCAAGAAACTTCCCATCGTACGTGCTTCTTCTGTCTTTAATATATGTAGCTTTGGTTTCTTGGGCAAATAAATACAATCTAATAAGTTGCTGTTGCTGCATGCAGAGTGTAAGGTTTGATTTCGTGGATAACGCTGACATAAGAGACATAACCTCAATAGATGCCAAGAACTTCCACATAAACGTGATCAGCGGCAAGAACATGACCTTTGATAACATCAAGATCATCGCTCCAGACCACAGCCCCAACACTGACGGTATCCATTTGGGAAGATGTGACGGAGTCAAGATCCTCAACACCAAGATCGCGACCGGAGATGACTGCATCTCGGTGGGAGATGGGATGAAGAATCTTCTTATTGAGAAAGTCGTGTGCGGTCCAGGACACGGAATCAGCGTGGGAAGCCTTGGCAATTACGTCTGGGAGGAAGACGTGACCGGCATTACCGTCAAGAACTGCACCATCCAGGGGACTGACAACGGGGTCAGGATCAAGACATGGCCATCTTCAAAGTGCACCACCACCGCCTCTGGAATTCATTTTGAGGATATCATCCTTAACAACGTTAGCAACCCAATCATCATCGACCAGGAGTACTGCCCGTGGAACCAATGCAACAAGCAGGTAACACGCGTGCATATTTTCTATCACAATCCATACATACCCGTTTTAAGAACATATTATTCTGACTCCCAAAGGCTGTTTCCCATTTGCAGAAACCATCATCCATTAAGCTGGTGGACATTCGCTTCAAGAACATCAGAGGAACATCAGGGAACAAGGACGCTGTGAAGCTTTTGTGCAGCAAGGGATTTCCGTGCCAGAACGTTGAGATTGGAAACATTGATATTACGTACTCTGGAGCCGATGGTCCAGCCACTTTCCAGTGCTCCAACGTTGTGCCTAAGCTTGTCGGAACCCAGAACCCAAAGGCTTGTACCGGACCCGTGGTCAAGGCACCCGGCTCCGCCTAAGTATAATCTAGAAGCTCTCATCCAATTTTGTTTTTTCCCTTCTTTGCAATTAAGGGACACTTATAAAAACTATAAAATTTAAATGTTTCTCTTTGATGCCAACACATATATAGATATGTGTGTGCGCATGATAATGTAATAATACTAAAAGATTTATAAATATCTTCTCCTTACCGTGTTTTCGTTTTTAATTTCTTATCTTTCAAATTTGCATGGACTTCCAAACCAAAACCAAAATCAAAATTAATATGCAATAATTAAATAAGCTAATTTTTTACCTTCTATATCGCTTTAAGTTCTACGTATATCATTTCCCATGCATGTTGGATATTCATCATTCGCCTCTTCAAGATAACGGCTATATTCTAACCAATTTTGGGTCATGTTATTTTCGGATAGGAACAATTTCACAACATTTGGACCGGATCTGTATTGGTTTGGGTCTTTAGGCTTTAATACCATGCTAAGTTTAATGAGATTCTAACTCAACATATTCCTTGACAATGTGCCTCACTAAGTACTACATGTTCCTTTATATATCGTTTAAGGTTGAATCTCACTTCCGATATAAGAGGGCCATTAATTGTGGCCTGAAATGCTCTCAGACCAGTGGAATATACTTATTTCTAATCGAAAACGTTTATTTGCTATTTTTCGTGTACTTGTAATTTTTTAATCTCTAATCGTGGTGCTTTCAGTTTTCACATTCAACGTCGGATATTGGCAAATAAATCTTCGAGATCCATAGCAGCAAAGTAACGTGGATACAAATCGCCTAAGATTTGCCCCTAGTCTTCGAATATCGAAACAGCGTATTTGATGAACTAATATAAAAAGAACAACTTATTTAGTTATTTAGTGAGGCAATTTACGTATTCGATGAACTAATATAAAAACTGATATAGTGGAATTTATTGCTAGACAATACTTTCAGGATGCAATTTCACTATAGTGCAATTTAACTAAAGCTACATCAGTTGTGCATGCAAATTAAAAACTTCTATTGATGCTTGTCAAAGAAAAGAAAATGGTATCCCTAATTTTTCTTAAAGAGCAAGAGATTCATGGTGATATGATGATGCATTTTGCATGTTAGTTGGAAGACAAATATTCGAAGTCTTTTTATCTCGATTATAATCATATGAACGCTTAAGTGACAAAAGTATCTGGCTCTTCCACACAAGTTCGAACATTAATTTCGTGACCTTATTTTTTTTGTTTTACTTGATTAATTGATTAAGTTAAGTATACAAGATTTCTTTCGGTACCGTAGAACTCAGACTTGAACCGAAGCAAATGAAGGGGATATAATCTTATTTTATTTTTGTCAAAAAAGGCATAATTATGCATTCATTGTGGAATTAGATATCATACATCATAGACCATAATGAAGTCGTGTACATATATAGAAAACAAATAATATTGAATGGCTGTTTTAGTTTAATATTTTTGAGCTTCTACTTTATTGGGGCGTAGTGGTCACGGGACCGCTGCAAGCTTTAGGGCTCTGAGCTCCCGAGAGTGTGGGGCTTACGTTTGAGCACTGGAAAGTGGCTGGACCATCAGCTCCACTGTACTTAATATCTATGTCTCCAATCTCCACGTTCTGGCACGGATATCCCTTGCTGCACAATAGCTTCACTGCATCCTTGTTCCCTGATGTTCCTCTGACTCTCTTGAAGCTTATGTTCACCAGCTTAATCGTTGATGCTTTCTGCCAATCAAGAAGAAAACAACTTAACAGATGGAATTCGATTCTCTAACTTCTACCAACATGGCGAATCCTCAAACAAAAAGATAACCGAAAAAGACACGGACTCTATCAAAATGAATGATAAAGATACAATACCTGCTTGTTGCATTGGTTCCAAGGGCAGTACTCTTGGTCGATGAGGATTGGGTTGCTAACGTCCTTGACAATGATATCCTCAAAATGAATGTCGGAGGCGGTGGTGGAGCAAGCTGCAGACGGCCATGTCTTGATTCTCAGTCCGTTGTCAGTCTGTTGGAGAGTGCAGTTCACGACTCTGATGCCGCTGACATCTTGCTCGTTTCCATACCTTCCAAGGCTTCCTACACTGATTCCGTGTCCCGGACCGCACGTGACTTTCTCCACGTGAAGGTTCTTCGTTCCATCCCCAACGGAGATGCAGTCGTCTCCCGTGGAGATGAAGGTGTTAAGGATCTTGACTCCGTCACTTCTTCCCAAATGGATACCGTCAGTGTTGGGGCTGTCTTCTGGAGCGGTGATCTTGATGTTATCCATGGTCATGTTCTTGGCTCCGAGCACGTTTATGTGGAAGTTCTTTGCATCTATCGAGGATATGTCTCTAATCTCAGCGTTCTCCACGAAATCAAACCTTATACTCTGTATAAAAATTAAAACAAAGAAAAATAACATCACTAAGTTGTTTATTTTTAACAAAAAGCCAATTAAACTCTGATATATTAAGCCCTAGAAGTCATATCCAGGGTTTAAATTCAAAATCTGAGAGGCAATTAAAGACAGAAAAAGCACGTACGATGGGAAGTTTCTTGCAGTTGAAGGTCTTGTGGCAGTTATTGACCGTCCAGGCTGCGTTTCCTTCACCGTCGAAGACTCCACCGCCGTTCAACTTGAAACCGTTAAGGTTTCCGAAGACGACCCATTTTTCCTTTCCATTGATAGAGCCACCGTCAGCTTTGACAGTGCCTTGAAGGGTGATCTCGACTGGAGCTTTGCATGGACCCCTCATCTCGATCTCACCAAGCTTGAACTCTCCTTTCGGGATCACCACTTGGCTCGGGGACGCAGATTGGCATGCCGATGTGAACGCTTTCAGAAGTGCCTGCATGTCGGCACAATGGAACCCTCAATAGTTTAGCAAATTAAAAATATATATGGTTTTTGTAGATTTCTTGGAAAGCAAGAAATGGGAGAGAATTCGAACTAACCTGGGTAATATCAGAACCTGAAGAAGAACCAATGGTGAATACCTCAGCATTGGCTGAGAATCCCAACAAACAGAAAACAAAAATGGTAGAAACTCCAAAATATGCACCCATTCTTATTTTTTGAAAATCTATTTACTACTAATATTACTATTTATTATTCAACTATGTTTTGTTTTCTGGAATTTGATTAAGCTCATGTTAACATTTATATAGTGAGTCAGGTGGAGAGATGTTCCATTCTGTTTCTTCTCGCCACCTCTCACTTTTTAGGTTGTTTGACCCATGTTTTCGGTTGTTTGACTCTCTCGAAGATTTACTTGCCAATTGTATCGACGTTGAATGTGAAAACACCTTTATAAGAGAGTTTCTATTTTTTTTTAAAAAGTAAACGAAAAATTATAGAGATATAGCCATGACTAGTAATGTGTATCTAGCCTTTAGGTGAAACATTATGTGAATAAAATCTTAAATGGGAAGTGATGATGAGATTGAATCTTGAAAAAAAAATATATATATGTATTTATTGTGAGGCACATTGTCAAGAAATGTTGAGTTGGAATCTCGGAAAACTTAATTATATTAGGATGTTGTTAGAGCCCAAAGACGTACGCTACACAGTACCAATCCAGTCTAATCTTTGTCTTGATCATTCCTATCCGAAACTAACATGAACCAAGAAGACTGCCGATGCAGTGCATAAATAATTTCATAATGCGAAATTGTTAAATAAGGAAGTTGTTAGAGAATAGCCATTATCTTGATGAAGATGCAAATGACGAATATCTTACATGGAAAATAATATACGTAGAACTTAAAGCGATTCTAAGATAAATGAACCAAATTAGTTATTGTTTTGGTTTGGAAGTCCATGCAAATTTGAAAGATTAGAATTTTAAAACAAAAATTAGTTAGAATATAGATCTTGAAGAGGCGAATGATGAATATCCAACATGCATGGGAAATGATATACGTAGAACTTAAAGCGATATACAAGGTAAAAAATTTAGCTTATCTAATTATTGCATATTAATTTTGATTTTGGTTTTGGTTTGGAAATCCATGCAAATTTGAAAGATAAGAAATTAAAAACGAAAACACGGTAAGGAGAAGATATTTATAAATCTTTTAGTATTATTACATTATCATGCGCACACACATATCTATATATGTGTTGGCATCAAAGAGAAACATTTAAATTTTATAGTTTTTATAAGTGTCCCTTAATTGCAAAGAAGGGAAAAAACAAAATTGGATGAGAGCTTCTAGATTATACTTAGGCGGAGCCGGGTGCCTTGACCACGGGTCCGGTACAAGCCTTTGGGTTCTGGGTTCCGACAAGCTTAGGCACAACGTTGGAGCACTGGAAAGTGGCTGGACCATCGGCTCCAGAGTACGTAATATCAATGTTTCCAATCTCAACGTTCTGGCACGGAAATCCCTTGCTGCACAAAAGCTTCACAGCGTCCTTGTTCCCTGATGTTCCTCTGATGTTCTTGAAGCGAATGTCCACCAGCTTAATGGATGATGGTTTCTGCAAATGGGAAACAGCCTTTGGGAGTCAGAATAATATGTTCTTAAAACGGGTATGTATGGATTGTGATAGAAAATATGCACGCGTGTTACCTGCTTGTTGCATTGGTTCCACGGGCAGTACTCCTGGTCGATGATGATTGGGTTGCTAACGTTGTTAAGGATGATATCCTCAAAATGAATTCCAGAGGCGGTGGTGGTGCACTTTGAAGATGGCCATGTCTTGATCCTGACCCCGTTGTCAGTCCCCTGGATGGTGCAGTTCTTGACGGTAATGCCGGTCACGTCTTCCTCCCAGACGTAATTGCCAAGGCTTCCCACGCTGATTCCGTGTCCTGGACCGCACACGACTTTCTCAATAAGAAGATTCTTCATCCCATCTCCCACCGAGATGCAGTCATCTCCGGTCGCGATCTTGGTGTTGAGGATCTTGACTCCGTCACATCTTCCCAAATGGATACCGTCAGTGTTGGGGCTGTGGTCTGGAGCGATGATCTTGATGTTATCAAAGGTCATGTTCTTGCCGCTGATCACGTTTATGTGGAAGTTCTTGGCATCTATTGAGGTTATGTCTCTTATGTCAGCGTTATCCACGAAATCAAACCTTACACTCTGCATGCAGCAACAGCAACTTATTAGATTGTATTTATTTGCCCAAGAAACCAAAGCTACATATATTAAAGACAGAAGAAGCACGTACGATGGGAAGTTTCTTGCACTGGAAGGTCTTGTGGCAGTTATTTTCCCTCCAAGCTGCATTGCCTTCACCGTCAAATGTTCCACCTCCGTTCAACTTAAACCCATTAATTTTCTCGAAGACGACCCATCTATCCTTTCCAGCGATAGAGCCACCGTCAGCTTTGACTGTGCCTTGCAGGGTCACCTCCACTGGAGCCTTGCATGGACCCGTCATCGCGATCTCGCCAAGCTTGAACTCACCTTTTGGGATCACCACCTTGCTCGGTGTCGGAGCTTGGCATGCCGATGTGAATGCTTTCAGAAGTGCCTACATTGCATTCAAACCCCAATTCAAGAAACGGTTTATATATAGATGGCTTGGCTCGCAAGAAACGAAAAGCAGTCGTATTAAACTAACCGGAGTAATATCAGATCCTGGAGACCCAGGAACGTTGAACACCTCAGCATTGGCCGAAAATCCCAGCAAACATAGAACCAAAATCGTCGAAATTCCGAAATATGAACCCATTATTTAATATATTATATTTATTTTGTTTTTTTTTTTTTTTTTGTTTTTGGTTTTCTGAGATTTTAACTATGCATCTGCTGCTTTATATAGTGTCTTGAATGGAGAGATATCCAAGGCCCATTTTCTCTCAACGTCTCTTTTTTTTTAGGTTGTTTGTCCTATTTTTAAGGATAAATGTATATAATTGGTTCTCTAATTTCGAGAAACTAGCGTTTTAATTATTAGACAAAAAGACTTGTTCCACTCATCCTTTATAGCATTAGTTCGTACAATACGTTTTTTTGGGAGGTTAATTTTTACCTGAAATAGTATATTTTTTAATAAATAAGATATTAGCTATGATTAGCTGAGAAATGATGCAATCATATGCTATTTTCCAAATGTATGGATCCTTGATGTTGAGGCTGAATGTTAATCGTTCGAGGCGCACACAGTCAGAAAAGTGAACCCCTATACGAACAAAAACTTGTATATGGACTTTATTGCAATTCTAGTTTACGCATAGGTTTACATTTTTTTTTACGTAAAAATAGCGTGTTTTTTTTTATGAAACCAAAATATTTGTGAACTTTGTCAAACCACAATAAATGAAAATTTTCATGTTCACATAATACATTTCCGATATAAGATCATAACCATGTTAACGTACCATAAACGTGCATCGGAAACAACATAGCGAAAGTAAAGAGAACGGAATCAATAAGCAAATAATCCATCGGGATTCATAAGAATAGTGATCTAAGAAAATTGATGTTAAATAATTATTCTTACTCAAAACATAAGGACAGTGAAATTGATGTTAGATTGTTAGTTAGTCACTGCAATATTAAGAAAGAAAGAAAAAAATAGCATAACTAAGAGGAGAAAGCAATAAAACATAAAAATAGTTTTCTATAAAATAGAAGTACATCAACAGAAACGAGTTTGCTTGCGTTCGCATAAGACATACAAACAGCTTGAGAACAAAATAATCTCATAGTGACTTATTCTCGAAAGCCCTACATGGCTAAATCCTCTTTCCATATCTCACACTATCGAAAACAAAAACAAAAACCTTAAAAACAACAAAACAAAAGAAAAATATATCCTCTAGTACAATCTGCCTCAAAACACAACCCTTAACCATAACCCCAAGAAGAAGAAGAAGAAGAAGAAGAAGAAGAAGAACCATTACATGACAATAAAGAAAACTGAGGAAGAAGGATCATTTCTTTTTTTGTTTTGAACTCTTCTTATGTATTACCGCCTCGCCGGAGACTGATACAGTTTCTTCTGTCCCTCATTGAAAGAAAGAAAAGAAAAAAAAACAAAAATAGGAAAAAGAAAGCAGAAAAAAGCCTAGGAGGATCAATGAATTTAGAAAACCAAACCATGACAGAAAAATCTGTGGGATTTTCTGGTTAGCTCTAGCTGATGATATGATCAAGTTTCGTCCTCATGGGCTTTTGTATGAAAGAGAAGATAATCTAAAAGATTCGCCAAAAGACACAGATCGTTCACCGTGATGGCTCGCCTACAATATCGTGGTAAAACAAAAACGATTGTACTAAGTAGCAATTCCTGCAACACAAAGCGAAGAAAGGAAGAGATAATTCAGAGCGATAAGAAACCAGTCATGCATTTGGGTTTCTTCATCACTAGCTTCTTAGACTTCCCAGAGACTCTGTTTTGAGCAATGAATAAGATTAAGCTACTTTCCTAGCTTCATGAGAGCGTATCTAAAGCATGGGAATAAAACTATCCTCATCGACTTTTAGCATTATGTATGCAAGCAAGTTTCTGTTTCTGAAGAAAAGCCAATTTACTATTATTTCAAGACCCTGAACCATGATGGTGTTTATTCCCAAAATAAGAAGAGGATAATCAAAATAAAGCCAAACTGTGATTTGGAAACTATCTAGGCTTTCTATTAGGAAACAGTGCGTTCTTATCCAATTCCTTTTACTTATCAACTAGCTCATTGCTCATAGAATCACGTGTTAAAAGCAAAGATTACTCTCTAAACTCAAAAATTACCTCTGTTCGACTGTCTCTTGTTCACACTGTAACTGCCAACATAACCTGGAGATGAACTTCTAGCTGAAACATCCGAAGAAGGACCTCCTCCTCCAATCCCATAGCTAAAAGAAGCAGGCACTTCTGCCTCAGGGGTTGGTGATCTCCATGTGGGATCACTATAGACTGCACCATTCCCGTAAAAATCTGCAAGCCCTGCTGCATCGTAACCAGTGTTGTTGGTCGCCGAGGCAGAAGAGAATGAAGATGATGGTGCGGCCTTGCTAGGCCCTATGTTTCTTGCTGCGTATCCACCTGCTCCCAACCCAAAGCCAGATTCACCGTTTCCTCCGTAACCAAACTTCACATTCTCGTTACTAACAGCATTGTTCCCTCCTCCTCCAGGAGCACCCCAATTGACTCCAGAGTTCCCAAACGGACCGCTAAGTGTGTTGTTCCCACTCGTCGATCCTCCCATGTATGTATTGGAATTCGAGTTTGTCGTGTTGTTGTTGTAGTTCAGACCCCCGTTGTTTCCCCACAGGTTCCGCGTAACCGAACTGAAGAAGGATGAGTTCCCTCCTCCTCCATTGCCTCCTTCGTACCCAACCGCAGGACCAAACCGGTTTGTGTTACCGATGTAGTACGGGCTCATTCCTCGGCCATAGTCGACGTTCCCATTAAAACTCGTACCTCCCGTGAACCCTGTGGGCAACCCCTGCTCAAAGTTCACATTCATCCCGTAGCCAGAACCGAAATTTGGAAACCCGCTTCTACCAGCACCGACCGGGCTGAACCGACCATCCATCCTGAGTCCGTAGCCTCCAACTGCGGCGGGGTTGAACCCTTGAGCATATCCATTAAGGAGGTTATTGACCCTATTAACTCCGTAGCTGTAGCCTGCACCAAGCGGGCTGCGAGTTGGACCTGGAGACAACTCCTTGGGAACCGCTCGCTTGACCTCGACCATTTTACCGTTAAGTTCATGGAATGTCTTGAGCAGAACTTTCTCAACCGCCTCCTCGGAATCATAAGTTATGAACCCGAAACCTCTAGGCCTTTGTGTGTTGTGGTCATACATCACAACCACATCCGTAGTTGTCCCAAACTGCTCAAAATACGTCTTGAAATCGCTCTCTGTAACCGAAGAAGGCAACCCTCCAACAAATATCTTCCTTGTACGGCCTGGGCCACCCGGTGATCCTTGGATGCTACTGCTGTTGCTTCTATTTACTATGTTCTGGTCATCTCTCGGAACAGCTTTCTTGGCTTCAACCTGCAAAAACATCAACCAAATTCAAAAAACTAAAGAAACGCTAGTTTCATCTCAAAACCCCAATCAAAGAAGAAAGGAAACGTCAATTCAAAACGAACAAAAAGTGAAACTTTCGAGGGTTGGCTGCAGAGAGAAGCTTCGAAAACAAGTTACATTGTACAGAATCAAAGGCGAGAAGGGAGGAAACGTACCAATCTCCCATCAATATTATGTTTTTCCGTAATAACAATCTCAGCAACAGCTGGATCAGCAAACACTACAAACCCGAAGCCACGGGCACGGCCTGTGGTACGGTCTTTCAAGATCACGGCCTCGATCACTTCTCCGAAGCTGCTGAAATACTCCTTGAGACGTTCCTCATTGGTGTCCCAAGATATCCCGCCGATGAAAAGCTTTCCATTGTCGGATTGCATTTTGCTCTGCACACAAGAGATTCGGATTTTAGAATCTGTAAGAAAACCGAACAAAATTTGGCAGATCAAACATCAAAGCATGAGCCAACAAGTTTTGCTTTTAGCTATGCGGATGATGAATCCAGATTTCGTCGATTCTCAGAATCTGATCAAACGGTAAATCAAACACAGATTTCGTGTATATGTGGCAAAGACCACTCGGATTCAATCTAGGAAGAGCAGATCCTTCGTCTACCGATTAAGGAATACAGAAGAAACAAAGGGAATCTGCGGGAGAGGTTGATCGGATGGAGAAGCAAAAGGAAACAGATTTCCAATCAAACATGTGAATCGAAATCTCAGATCAAAGAATGAAAAGCAGATGTATCGAAAACCCACCAATCAGATTAAAACCCAGATGCCGAATCTCGTAAAGAAATCACTAAGATCTGAGGATAGGCACGATTTGAATAGAGGGCATAATTTAACCTGCCCCTTTCCCTAGAAACGAAAGATTTGAGAGAGAAAAGAAAAGTGAGAATACAAATTATCTGTTTTTGTTCAATCCGATTCAACCCGATTTAACACAATTTCAATGGCGTCAATAAAAACATACTGACAACGCGCAGGGACGCGCTCTAGATAGAGAGAGAGAGAGAGAAAGAGGGAGAGAGAGTTGTAGAGATAGAAAGACAAAGGCTTTTCGGGTGCAAGAAGAAGATATGTCTGTATTATATATATATGTATTACATAATTGGGCAAGTCTCTCTCTCTTTCTCTCTTTTAGTTTTTACAATACAAAGCTCTATGTGCGTATGTAAGGAAATGCGGAGTTTGGTTCTCTCCCTTCAATTTATTACACGCAACTTTTTTACTAATCTTACAAAAAAATATATATATATATATTATTTGGAAACATCTTTAATTAAAAACATCTAGATTAATTAGCATAGTGCCACTAAAAGTCTAGGACTAATTAATTTTTACTACGGTCAAATATTTGTTCTTACATGTATTGTTTTCCAAATAGTTATTACCGCGATCAAAAAGACACATCGAGCTAACCTATTAACATAGTGCCGCGAATGTACTGGTTTCGTCTTTCAGTTCGGTTTTTTTGGAACATTACTTTTACGAGCAACGATTGAACATTGATTTTATAGGTGCAACTTGAAATTCGAAATTCGAAGAAGCAAAATGTAAAACATTATGACTATTTCGTGGCAGATTGAAACACATGAAGAGAGGCTGCGAACATGTCCAACTTTGGGCCCAAAAAGCATAATCATTTTGGGCTTAAGCCCACATTTAAAAAGAAACTGAATATACGATTATTTAAAAAATCGGTTTTAGTGTTTCCGCTTTACAATTCCCTCTAAAAAAATGTTTCCCTCCAAGATGTGAAATATTTCAAACTCTTATCTTTGACAAATCTTCTCCTACAATTTTCTTCCTTCTTCAACCTCTGTATCTCTGCTATATATACGATGGACATGCTATTCACCATCGCCACCTAAATCAACAACCAAGTTTAGCCTTTCTCCTCTTTTCATCCTACAGTCACGATATTTTCTCACTTAAACTCTCTTCCATGGCGGCCCTCAAAGCTTCGTTTATGCTAAGAACCCTCGACAGCGACGTCTCCGGAGATGTTATCGCCGACCAGGTACAACGCGGATCCGGTGCTATTCACGTTATCATGGGCCCTATGTTTTCTGGGAAATCTACCTCCCTCCTCCGCCGGATCAAGTCTGAAATCAGCGTCGGAAGGTAAAAAAAACGTGATCACCATCTTCATAGATTCCAACAGTCAGATCTATGATGTTTCCGACCCGAATTTGGGTTAGAGTTTGCTGATAACCTTCAAATTTCACGATCTAATTTATCAATTTTTCGTCTTTTTGGTCATGTAGAAGTGTAGCGATGCTGAAATCGAGCAAGGATACGAGATACGCGAAAGATTCAGTGGTGACACATGATGGAATCGGATTCCCTTGCTGGGCTCTTCCAGATCTAATGTCATTTCCTGAGAAATTCGGTCAAGATGCCTACGACAAGGTAAATTTTATGGTTTCTGGGTTATTTTGGGTCTTAATTGTGAAGGATTTGCATTGAAATTGTGTTTTTCTCTCTCTCTCTCTTAAAATTATTGGCAGCTTGATGTGATTGGTATTGATGAGGCTCAGTTCTTTGGAGATCTTTATGAGTTTTGCTGCAAAGTCGCCGATGATGATGGCAAAACAGTGATTGTTGCAGGCCTGGATGGTGACTATTTGAGGTGCTTCATTCTTGTGATTTTGACACTTTACTTCAAATTTTAGCAATTTTGATGATTGAGTGTAACTTGACTGCGTGATCCTTTTCTCGCAAAAAATGCAGGAGGAGGTTTGGTGCTATTCTTGACATTATACCAATAGCTGATTCTGTGACGAAGCTAACAGCAAGGTGTGAGGTTTGTGGACAGAAAGGTTTCTTCACTCTAAGAAAGACTTGCGACACCAGAACCGAGCTCATCGGTGGAGCTGACGTCTATATGCCTGTTTGTCGCAAGCATTACATCAATAATCAAATTGTCATCAAAGCTTCCAAGAAAGTGTTGGATTCTGACAAGGCAAGAGCTGAATCTCGTGTGGAGGCAGCTGCTGCTATGGTCTAACTATAAATTGCTTTGGAACCAGTAACATAGTCTATATGATGGTGAAATTTTGTTTTTCTGTTTGCTTTCGTTTCACTTGGGCGTATCCTCAATGTTGTCTTTGAAAATCACTTGTGATGTTCCTTGTATATAATAAGTATGTGTTTGATAATTTCTCTATAGTTTTTGTCCATCTATCATGCATTCTACAGGCTTTTGTTAGCAGCTTGTCTCATTTTATCCTTTCATAACCTAAAGACGTTTCTAATCTCTCTCCCTTCTCCAATTCTGCTTCATTGCATTCCCCAGTTTGCTGCATTGTTCTGCAACAAGGCACTGTTGTCCTGAAGCCAGCGAAGAGGGATTTAAATGATTCAAAGCTCCATCGTCCTCTCAGAAACATAGCTCATGGAGCATCAAGTGCAATAATCTTTGTGACATATGAAAAACAAGGATCTGTTTTGACGACTGTAAAGAGAAGTCAGCCTATTCGAGTCAAAACGTGTTTCAAACAACTTTGGTCACAACATAAGGTTAACAATAAACAAGGGGGATCAAATTGGAACAAGAGACAACAAGAACATCCATCCATAAAGAACACACGCATTCCAAAAACCAAAAGAAGACACTTTGACGGACGCAAATAAAATATCAGAGAGTAGCAGCAAGAGCCTTGATAACCTCAGCCGATGAAGGGACTGTAAGCACATGATCCAGCCACTCAACTTTCCCCCAAATTTCACAACTGTTGCGCCTTTCAAGCGCAATCTCTGCACACCAAATCTCCTTCATCTTGAAGTACCAAAACCGCCGAATACGAGGACACTCCTCCGCTTCCCACAAAACCGCCATCTTTCCACCATAATCAGCCAATTTAACACGAGATGTACCAGTGAGCTTAGGTAGTCCAACCAAACCGGACAAATCTCTCCACACTCTTGCCTCAGTATCATACCATCGGATCCCATCCCCCGCAGCAGAGTACAGAACGTTGTCAATCACGCAATAAGCTTCTGGTTGCATATACCACCTCATCCCTCTTGCAACAACGTCCCATCCACCTTCCTTGGGATCGTAAGCAACCACCTCATTGCGAGTCACCACGTGGAACTTCCCTTCAATCGATGCGGTGGAGTCGGTAACTACGGCTTCTACTTCGCTGGGCACGGGATCCCAAACTTGAGCTTTCGTGTCGAAGGCCTGGAACGAGTTCTTCAAACGTGAATCACCACCATCTCTGGAGCGACCTGCTACATATATCTTTCCATCAATGACGCTTGCAGAAAGTCTACAGAGCTCAAACCGCAAGCTTGGAGCCTCGCTCCACGTATGAGACCGACAATCCAGTATCCAGACCCTAGAGTAGAACCCGAAGACTATGAATTCGATTCCGGATCCGCCAATGTTGTAGATATTGGAACCAACCGCAACAAGACCCGAAAAGAACGCACAAGAAGAACCGGGAATTGGGACTTTAGCCAAAACATACCCACTTGGCTTGGTTTCACTGATTAGGGGCTTTTTAGGTTTCCGGCAGAGGGTGTACCAGGTAAGACCGTGACCGGCACCTGGTTTTATGCACACGTAGAGACAACTCTCGGCGCGGCCCAAGAGCGACCGGACCTTGTAGAGCTCCGGTGAAGCAGTGAGGGATCGAAAGCCCTTGGAGACGAGGGAGAGAGTCGGATAGTACAGCCTCGAGACGCGTGCGATGCAGCTCAACAGCAGGTCATAGGGAAGCGACGTAATCATGGGTGATTCAGGCGTCGACTTCTTCTCAGACGCAGCAGTGATCTTCCTCTTCCTTGCCGTGGGCATTGCCGGCTTCTTCTTCGTGTAGCACTTGTCTTCCTCTTCTTTCCAAAATATAATATTTGAAGACTTAGGTTAAGGAATGAAATCTAGAAATCAGGGAAGAATTAATTTAAAAGGATCTAACGGTTTATATTGAATAGAGAGAAAGATCTAATTTGATTAAGGGAAAACAATCTTTGAAAAATAACTTTACTTCTAATCATTGAGCTATGTGTTTAATTCTTTTTCTTTCAGTGAAAGAAGACATGTATATTATATTACTTATTTCTTAACATCTTTTTGAAGCATTTTGTTTTTTTCTTCTTAAAATCAATTGTCCCAAAAGGGTAACCATTGTAAACAAAACATGTTCAAAAATATTTTTCAGGATCATAACAAATTTACCAAGTCTACTACTACCCAACGAGTCAATGACGATGCATATTTACATAAACACCCTTTATCGCTTTCCATTACAGTATCAGAGTCCAAAACGCCAAAAGGGTAATAATTGTTTCGGGAAATTTTCCCTTTTCGCGCTACATATCTATCTAATTTCTTGTCCCGAATTTACCAGATACTGAAAACCTCCTCTCCAAGTTTCCAACAAATATTGATTAGTTTTCTCTTGCTTTCTTTTTTTATTTTTTCGTTTAGTACTCTCAAATATATTTATCTAGAATAGAATATATTATGAAGTTGTGTTTATATGATAATAAGATATATATATATATAATGGCAATATTAACATAATTCTCATTTTAATATAATGTAAACTTTCTTAAACACATAAAGTAAATATATTAAAAATATATATCGAAATCTACAATATATTTTTTTCGGATTTATTAGCTTCATTTCATAAACTGTCTGCAAAAAAAAAATTTGGCTTCCCAAATTACTAATAATATATCTTTCTTTCCAAGTTACTCTAATAATCTATTTTCCACATTACAAAGAAAAACAATATACAGCTACGGCCGATAGTGTGATTATTACTAATAGGCTAGTAAATTGAGTAAGTACTAAACTAAAGATATAAAAAGAAAGAAAGTGAGATTAATTAAAGTTTTTTTGGGACAAAGACGTTGTCATAATCAGAGTCGTCAACCGAATGCTAAAACTTACTAATTACAATATTAATTCATAATTAAGCAATTCGGAAAATTTTCATAAAGCATCATCGTTCATTCTGTACACACAAAATATTAAGAAGCCCTTTAAATTGCTCTCTCCTTCTCTCCCTCTTGCAAACCCCTCCCGGTACGATAATTGCAACTTAAAATCATCGGAATAACAGTTCTCGAAGCTTAGCTGACGTTAAACAACTTACCAACTTCTGGTGAGGTTTCTCCTCTCTTCTCGGGTTTTGATATCATTTTTACTTCCTTAAAACAAATTCTGTGACATTGTAACCTTAGGATGATGGTCGAATCTGTTTCTGGTACTGTTCAAGCCATCAAGGTGGTTAGGTTTTAGATAATAGAATTTACTAATTATTTTTGATTTCAAACATGCCATCAAAGCTGGATGATGCTATAGAGGCAAGAGGTGTGAATTCCCAAGACTTCATACTGATCTTAGTTGAAGGTGATTCAGCAAAAACGGCTGTTATAAACAGTAGGATGTTTCCGCCACAAGGAAAGCTACTAAATGTAAAAGAGGCCAGAGAAGAGACGATTAAGGGAAAGAAGCAAGTTGCGCAACTAAAGAAGATTCTTGGATTAGAGGATGAAAGTAATTATGATAAGCTTAGATATGGCAAAATCATGCTAATGACATATCAAGTAAGAAGTGAATAAAAATTCAATTGAGTATATATATTAACTTGACCAAATGTTGACCCAAAAAAAAAACTTGATTAAAAAAATTCCTGTTTTAGGATTTCAGTGGTTTCCACATAAAGGGATTCCTGATCAACATATTTCACTGTTTATGGCCGAGATTACTCAATAGAAAGAAGCCTTTCTGAGTTTGTAACTCCAATTTTGAAGGTATGAGTTTCATATAATAATGTCTTCATAATCATATTGGTGGGCATAATAGATATGTGAAATTAATTAACAGTTTCTCTGAACATTTCATCAGTGCACGCCCATAAATGATGGAGGAACACCAAAACAATTTTATTCATTACCTAAGTACATAAACTGGAATGCTCAATTCACCTTTGAAGAAAGACTCAAATGGAATCTTCTAAAATACTACAAAGTCGGTTTTTCGATTGTAAATTAACATAATTTGCAGAGTAAATTGATTTAGGTCTGAGCCTCAGCAATACAAAGCCTCCAACAGATGACTATAATTTTGATAAAACCCTAGCCCATTGCTTGTATATTTCTGATCCCTATTTGCATACCAAGGATTAGCTACCAGTTCAAACGAAGCCAATAAGTTTTTCGAAGACAGTGAGACTTACAAAACGGATATCATTTGGGAGAGTGCAAAGAGTAAATCTGATGTTGATGGACAAGCATTGGAAATTGCATTCAGTCAAAAGCCTAAAGTTGATGCAGCATGTCGAAGAGCTTGGCTCAAGGAACCGGTATGAGTTATCCTAAAATGTTGTATAATTGAGTTATCTTACAATGCTCTTCTTGTACTGATGTTAATATTTCTCCATTCAGGCTTTAGAACTCCTTAACATGTATGGATTGGACAAAATTTGTGTTTCCAACTTTGTTCATAAAGAGCTTAAATTATTCTCCCACGAAAACAATCGAAAGTATTCATGGGAGAACACCCACAATAATGTATTGGACCGTCTCTATGTTCTGGTGACCACCATTCTAAAAAAAATCGTATTGGTCGGCATTTAGATATAGCTGGGGAAAAAGAGAATCTGATCACAAAGGACCAAAGAAGAGCAATTCCCTGGTAACAACCAACATACATACGTGTTTTGGTAAAATAAATGTGGCTAATCATAATTATTGTGGATATTTTATAGGCATGTATGGTTGAGTTTGTGGGATTAATCAAGGTTAATGTGGTAAAAGGAACCAATCTTGCGGTTCGAGACGTGATGACCAGTGATCCTTATGTTATCTTTGCTCTTGGCCAATAAGTGAGCTCTCTACAAAATCTTCCTCTCACATAATGATAAATAATTTCCTTCTTCCTCCTCTTTTTTGTTGTTGTTGTTTGCTACTTTTTTTGTTGATCCACATCAAAACCTATGTAAAACGATCCATGATCATATGAAAAAAAACAATCAAGAGTTTGAACGGTAAATTCTGGCATGTTTTAGTGTTTCACCTTTTACTTTTACCTATTCCCGAATAATCTGTTTTTTTCTTTTGGTGATTAATAACAAGAAATATAGATATGGAGATTTTTGTAACTCAAAATGGATGAATAGTTTGTTCGTTTATTATAGAGTAAGTAAATTTTAAATTAGCTAAAATGTTATGGTAATTTTTTATATATAATGTTGATTATTGTACTTAATCTTTTTATTAGTTATATATATTATAATTTGTTTTAATATATATTTTGATTAAATAAATTTTAAATTAGGAAAAATGCTATGATAATTTTTTATATAATGCTTAATTTTTATATTTTAAAATGTTAAATTGTTTTTAACTTATAACTAATCGCTTTTATTTAATATTTTTGCTAAAGTTACATTTTATGTAAAACTTTTATAGTCTTTCGAAACCATAAAAGATATATAATCTCGTTCGACTTGCTTTGAAAATTGAAAATCTTGCAAGTTGCAAGTGGGTATTTTAACAAACACCCTTATCAGTTTCCATTATACGTATCAAGAGTACAAAACGAGAAAATGGTAATTGAGCTTAAGCTGAGTGAAGAGAACATGGTGTTGGCTCGGCAAGAGGGTTTTTTGAAAACACTCCAATTCACCACGACAATCGCTACGACAAACATGCATCTCTTTGATGCAACGGGTGAAGAAATTTGCGACTCCTGAACAAAGTAAGAAGGGATCCAAACTCATTGTTCAGACTTGTTTTGTGTTAGTCTTGATTTGTTTCACTGATATCTAATCCGCACCTTGCAGTCCTCGAACATTTCTTCGTCCTCGGGCTCCAACACTATGAGAAGAGAATGGTTTTGAAAATGTCTTAATAGATGTTTTAGTTATCAAATCAACGCACTGGTCTTTAACAGTAAATTGTCTGATATGCTTACCGAGAATAATGCTGGCGCAACTGGAAGTTAAGAGGCTGAAACTAGAAAACCGGTTAAGGTTTGTGCGTCTAGTTGAAAGTGGAGAAATCGTGCTGGAGAACAGGAACAAAGACGACCTTGTTCAGGAGTTAATACAGAGAGGGTTTGCACCATTCCCGGAGGAGTAAAGAGCAAAGAAGGCAACAAAGAAGTGACAAATTTTATATTAATGCTGTTCAAACTTTTAACTTTCTACTTGCACAAAAACTTGCGTTACTTAAAAAACCATCCAAGTGTGACACTACTATTCTATGAAGAACTCTGTTTAACGATTTGGTCTGAGTAATCAAGACCGTTTAAGTGTGACACTACTATTCCATGAAGCAAACACATAAAACTTAGAATACACACTAATATAAAAAAGTAGTTTGCAATAAGCTTTCTTTTGTGTGTGTGTGCGTGTGTGCAAAGTTTACAATAAGCTGGCCTGATTGATCTGAGAAGATGTTAATTAAATAATTACCGTATTTTTTGTTTTGTTTTGTTGTAACACATTGGATTCAATTCAATAGTCATTTATCAACAACTATAGATTTCCCAATTGAGCGAGAAAGGAGAAAACAATCTCCGGTTTCAGCTGCGTCGACGAGATCTGTCGTCAGGATCGCAGATTTGTTGCACTCTCGTTGATAATCCGGCGACATGAGTTCTCCGGTACGCAAATATTATACCAGATCTACGAGATTTGGTCGTCTGACTTCGATCTTTTGCGTCCTTCTCTCTTTTTTTTTTCCTTTTCTGTTTCGAATCGTCGTCACTGACCTATGAATCTACTTTTACATTGATTCAGGGAACGGGTATGTTCACCAATTTCACCAAGCTCTGCAAAGGACTTGCTCTGGTGCTTGTGGTGGGGCACATCGTGGTTCAGTTCATTCCCGCCACCGTCCCATACCTTGCTCTGATTCCGGCGAGGTACTTCCTCTTCTCTCCTCCTTCTTCTTCTGTCACTACTAGGTTTCACGATTTTCGTACTGAATGGATTTTGCGTGCGCTAAACTAATTGCGAGGAAATTACGCTTCCTGTGTGCTAAATTCAGTGAGAAATTATATTACCTAGGATGCGAATTTGATGGAATATTACCTGATTGTTCTTCAAATTCCATCGAAACTGTTGTGATGCTCATTGCACAGTGTAATCAGAAATTACTTAGTTTGGGCTTGAACTATTATTGCGATGCTACTTCCTAACATTTGATATATTTTTCTTGAGTATAGGACTATTCCTTTTGCCTGGAATCTGATAACAAGCGGCTATTTTGAACTATCAGTATATGGGGTATGTTGTCTTATTCTTTTTTTCTCTCTATTTCAACTTGTTCCTATCAAATCCACACTTCTCATCTCTAGTGCTTAAGTACACGAGTGACTGTTTGCAATGTTGCAGGTTGTCTTCAGCACAGTTTCTCTCCTCTTTATGGGAAAGTTCCTGGAACCTGTCTGGGGTTCCAAGGAGTTCCTTAAGTTCATCTTTGTGGTGAACTTTCTTACATATCTCTGCGTTTTCGTTACAGCCATTGCTTTATACTACATAACGAGGCTCGAGATCTACCTGTAAGTACTCTACCACCCTTTACAGATTAAGTTTCTGGTTGTTTATTGTATCCTCCCACTTAAATTTGGAGGGATGTCTTTATTATGAATAACTAAGTTGAAATCCTTTGAGCTGTAATCATATTATAACTCGTGTTTGCTTCACTGCTCCGTTTACTTCGATCTTTACCAGTGTACAATGATATAATTCCTCTCTGTTTTCTTTCATTTCATGAACTATAGTAACCTGCTCTCTGTTTTCTCCTGGCTAGATATATGCCCTTTGCAGGTTTTCATGGTGTCTTGGCAGGCCTTCTTGTCGGGATAAAGGAAATAATACCTGACCAGGAGGTATTGCTGTTAAAGATAAAAGCAAAGGTAATATTTTGCCTTCTAGTAAGAAATGATAAAAAGCTTTTGGCATTTTTGTACTTTAACTTTGGCTAGTCGAACAAGTTCTCACATCCTAATCTTGCTTCTGGTTTCTGTGTGCAGTGGTTGCCCTCTATTATGGTAGTTTTGTCAATAGCCTCAAGCTTCTTCACAGTAAATTCAGCAGCGTATCTTCCTACTTTGATATTTGGTACATATATGGGCTGGTTATACCTCAGATACTTACAGAGGAGGCCAGAAACAAAGCTCAGAGGTGATCCGAGTGATGACTTTGCCTTCTCTACTTTCTTTCCTGAACTTCTCAGGTGAAAGAATATATCTCCATCTCTTTTTAACTATACTTTCGAGTTTACCCAGAAATCAATTCTTTTCTCATATTCTGTTTGTTTTTCCCAAATAAATGCAGACCGATAATTGACCCTATAGCCTCAATCTTTCATCGGATGCTTTGTGGACGATCAAATGCCACAAGCGAAGCCCATGGTTATACAACTAGCGGTGCTCCATTACCGGGTTCTGACTCTGCTGAAGCTTCCAGGAGGAGGTAAACTTGTTTTCTTTTGCCTTTAATCTCTTTCCTGCTCCACTTCAATGGTAGTTTGGATGCAATAGGTCCTAGTGCAGATCATCCTTATTTGGGTAGACACTGTTGAAAGATAGATAATATAGGGTTTGGTTGATGCAAACCGCGGTCATGAATGGATAGTACTGGCCTGTCATCACTATTGTCAAAATGTAGAGACTTGGCCTCGTTTGTATCAAACCAAATCCTGAGAAAGCTATTTCTGGTTCTCAAAAAGAAAATCGACCTTCTTGTTGCAGAGAAAGAGGAGCAAGGGCTCTAGAGGAGAGGCTTGCAACGGAAAGGTTGGTTCCTCCAAGGAACAAAGATGAGTCGCAGAGTGATGCTTTGGATAGCGTTTAAAGTGGAACATTGCAACTAGCTTTTTGAAGATGCTGTGTGGGTTCTTGTTTGTTTCAGGTGGACAGTTTTAATTTTTTTTTACAAAATTGACTTTAATACAGAATCAACCAGTAACTCCGTAAATTCCATGGACAGCTCGAAAAAGTAGTGCATTTTCTTGGAAAAAACCACTTAGAAACAATTTTCTTGGGCGAGAGAGAATATATATAGAAATTTATTATTATACACATATTTCACTTCTCCAAACTTGTTATTGTCCTAATCCAGCAGACCAGAACGCACAAAATGTCTCTTTTCGGTCAATCTGAAACAAAAATTACAACCTAAACATGAATTTGTGTATGCATACTTTGTAAATGAAAGATGACCGAGATTATTATAACATAAAAGAACGGAATCATGAAAAGTTGAGAATAAGGAAACTATTAATGAACAACAAAAAAACAAAAATGAAAAAGGGAAATGACGTCAGCATTGACAAGGTAACCACGTCGCTTATTGCGAGTCCCTCCAGATGTCTGGTGTGGTAGTCGCTTTAGGAATCAAACGCGGAGCTCCAATAACAATGGCCATTACCAAACTCTTCAATTTCTCTATCGATTCAAACACACACAACAGACATTCCTCAAATTTTTCCCTTTTCTTGTTTTGGTTTTTCCATATTCTCGTCTCTTTCCTTCTTTCTGTTGCTCTTTGTCACCAATCAAAAAACATCTCCGCCTTTCTCTCTCTCTCTCTCTGTTCTCGTCGTCCTTAGCTATACTACATTTTCAATCCGATAGATTCTGAACAAGAGACCCAGATCCTCCCATTTGAGAGATTCCTGCAAATGCGACTTGGCGATCTAGCTATGGAGGAACGAATGAGAAAAACCAAGATTCGGAGAAGAAATATGTGAAGAGACTAACAACATAAACAACAACAAAAGTGAAATTTCGAACAAGAGAAAAACCAAAAAACGAATAGAGAAATGTCGGTAGCACACGCAGACGACGCCGACGATTACAGCCGACCAACGGGAGAGGCTTACCACGCCGAGAAACCATTGCCGAGTGGAGACTTCTACACAGGGCAATGGCGAGACAATCTTCCTCACGGACACGGCAAATACCTCTGGACCGATGGTTGTATGTATGTCGGAGAATGGCACAGAGGCAAAACCATGGGCAAAGGTCGTTTCAGCTGGCCCAGTGGTGCCACCTACGAAGGCGATTTCAAAAACGGTTACATGGACGGCAAAGGTAATACCAAACCAAGCTGACCCAAATTTCTCAATCTTCTTCTTCTTCTTCTTCTTCTCTGAATCGCAATCTTGTTCTGGTTACAGGTACTTACATCGATTCGTCTGGAGATTTGTATAGAGGATCATGGGTGATGAATCTAAGACACGGCCAAGGAACCAAAAGCTACGTCAACGGTGATTGCTACGACGGAGAATGGAGGAGAGGGCTACAAGACGGACACGGGAGGTACCAATGGAAGAACGAGAACCATTACATCGGTCAATGGAAGAACGGGATGATGAACGGTAACGGGACGATGATATGGAGCAACGGCAACCGTTACGACGGATCCTGGGAAGACGCAGCTCCCAAAGGCAACGGAACTTTCCGATGGTCAGACGGGAGTTTCTACGTCGGAGTTTGGAGCAAGGATCCCAAAGAACAGAACGGGACTTATTACCCTTCGACGTCTTCAGGGAATTTCGACTGGCAACCGCAACAAGTGTTCTATGTTGACCTGAGTGAATGTGTGGTTTGCACTTGTCAGAGAATCCCGGTTTTGCCTTCTCAGAAGATGCCGGTTTGGTACGGTTCTTCCGAGCAGAGTAGTAGTGGGAACAGGACCAAGAACAGCAGCAATGAGAGGCCGAGGAGGAGATCTGTTGATGGGAGGGTTAGTAATGGTGAAATGGAACTGAGGAGTAATGGTTCTGGTTATCTCCAGTTGGATGATAATATGGCAGAGAGTAACAGATCATCATTAGGGCATTTGAGGATACAGCCTGCGAAGAAACAAGGACAAACCATCTCTAAAGGACATAAGAATTACGACCTCATGCTTAACTTGCAGCTCGGGATTAGGTACCGGACACTTTTCTTTTTCTTTTTGTTTTCGATTGAAATTGCTTGTGTTTTGCTTTCTTTGATGCGGTTTTTCTTTTTGTTCTTGCAAGACATTCTGTTGGAAGACCAGCGCCTGCTACATCTCTTGATTTGAAGGCTTCGGCGTTTGATCCAAAGGAAAAACTTTGGACCAAGTTTCCATCTGAAGGATCTAAATACACTCCTCCACACCAGTCTTGTGAGTTCAAATGGAAGGATTATTGTCCTGTGGTTTTCAGGTTAGAACCTGTCTTCCTTTTTTGTTTTCCGGGTTTTCTTGATCTTGCGTGTGTGTTTTGGTATTAAGAGAAACCGATGAAAAATGTTTTGTATAGGACTCTGCGGAAACTGTTTAGTGTGGATGCAGCAGATTATATGTTATCGATTTGTGGTAATGATGCTCTTAGGGAGCTATCATCTCCAGGGAAAAGTGGAAGCTTCTTCTACTTGACCAACGATGACCGCTACATGATCAAGACGATGAAGAAGGCAGAAACAAAAGTAAGTATCACTAGTAAATATACTAAGAGCTGAACCAAACCGCAAACTCTGTTTATCAAGATTCACTCATCTGCTTTTTTTGTCCCAGGTACTTATAAGGATGCTTCCGGCCTATTACAATCATGTAAGGGCATGTGAAAACACTCTGGTTACCAAATTTTTCGGTCTTCACTGCGTGAAATTGACTGGCACTGCACAGAAAAAGGTCAACAACCATTTTATTGCCTTCATGTGTCTCTGTATGGTTGTTATTAGCCTTTTCAATATTAGTGATGGAGAATACTTGCGCCTGCAGGTTCGGTTTGTGATCATGGGGAATCTGTTCTGTACTGGTTACTCCATCCATAGGCGGTTTGACCTCAAAGGATCCTCTCATGGCCGTCTCACCACTAAACCAGAGTCTGAAATCGATCCAAACACAACGCTTAAAGATCTTGATCTAAATTTCGTATTCCGACTGCAGAAGAACTGGTTCCAAGAATTCTGCAGGTGGCTGATTCATTACTTATAAGAACTCTTTTCACTTCGTTAGTGACTAAACCAAATATGACTTTTTTTGTTTGAACAGGCAAGTGGACAGAGACTGTGAGTTCCTTGAACAAGAGAGGATCATGGATTATAGTCTCTTAGTTGGTCTTCACTTCCGAGAAGCTTCATTCAAGGAGTCTGCTACTCCTCCTTCCGGAGCCCGAACCCCAACAGGTACAAAGTCTTGTCAGATCTTTGAGTCAATATTCTCACTTTCCAGCTTAAAAGCTTGATTGAGGCAACTTTCATCATCTATAAGCAGGAAATCCTGAAGGTGGAAACCCTCGTGTCTCCCGAGCAGAAATGGACCGTTTTCTTCTTGATGCCAGCAAGTAAAGAACCAAAAACTCAATGCTTACAACGCAGTTTTAAAAAGTGAGTAAATGGGTCCTGTAATAAAAGTGCGGTTCTTAAAAATGATTTTGCAGGTTAGCATCCATGAGGCTGGGTATAAACATGCCTGCGAGAGTTGAAAGAACAGTGAGAAGAAGTGACTGTGAGAATCAGCTTGTTGGGGAACCAACTGGTGAATTCTACGATGTGATTATCTACTTTGGTGTTATAGACATTCTACAAGACTACGATATAAGCAAGAAGCTTGAACATGCCTACAAATCAATGCAGTATGATCCGACTTCGATCTCAGCCGTTGATCCAAAGCAGTACTCTCGACGTTTCAGGGATTTCATCTTCAGGATCTTTGTCGAAGACACTTGAGAACAATCCATCTAACTTGCACCCCCCAAGGCCCAACCAAGTTGAGGTTTTATTTTTTTTGTTAGAAATTCTTTTCTATATAGAAATATTTGTAAATTTTACTATTTAACCAAATCTTTTCATATAGAGAAAAGTTCATTCTTTTTGTAACTAAAGTTCAATACTCTGCCCTTTTACTTCTTCTTGATACTCTTTGTATTGCGTTTCTTTAAACGTGAAAGGAAGGATGTGTACAGATGTTATTGACTTGTGTATTTCTCATTATCTTATTCCGTCCAAGTTTATCTTTCTATTTTTTTTTCTAGAATTAATTAACCAATATATTGAACAGAACATGTTTCTATTTTTTTCGTTTTTTTAATTAGATGTGGTTTATTTCCGTTTTTCAAATTGATTTTTAATACGTGAGAACAAGTTGACTTCTGGTAATACGCATACTCACAACAGGCGAAGCTCAAAGTCAATGCTAATGGTTTTCAAATTAAGTATTTCGTTATTTCATAATTGATACAGAATATGAAATGAAATGTTTTAAGGCGCTTAAGCAAACACACCTCTAGTCCGGAAGTATATAAAACATATCATCTAGTCTTCATATGAATATATTTATGATGATCACATAATTTATGTGAATTGTATATTACAAATATAGATTAGTGTCGCTATTTCTCATTTTGTTTAATATTATCACCTAATGCAAACAAAGAGTAGAGAGTAAAAAATAATGCCACACACGCAATGCAACAATCTAAACCTTCTCTAACTTAACCTTTGACAAATTTTACCAATCATCCCTCTTCCCTCTTTTATGTTATAGCTTTGCCTACTTTTCACTGTATGTGATTTATACTAATAGTACGTACCAAAAACAACATGTTACTTTATTTTTCGGGTTTAGCGTAAATCATATACAAATTTGGTCATCAAAACAGGTTCGTGGTGGAGTTTTGATGATTTTGGTTTCTTACCGAAACACACAAGCGCTTTGACCACAACACAACAATTAATACTGAAGAGCAACCCAAAGACAAATAATAAGTATGTATGAAAAGGTTAAGGTTGGATTGAAGAAATAACTAACAAAGTTGAAAGTTAAAACTTTAACCAACAAAACTGCTTTTACTTGAGACTTATATTTCAGTTATTTGTAGATAACCTAATTCAAAGCCAAAGTCAATACTTACTTCTTTATTTAGGCCGAGATTAGCTCTTCCATTTTCAGATTTGTTTTTTCAAATATATGTATATATAAATATATAACTTTTTTTCAAATTGTTAGCCAAAAACTGCATTGCCATGTCATCAAATGCGGTAGCGTGTGCATGTGTGAGTTGTGAGCGACAATATATATAATTATATATATAAATATTTTTTACCGGTTAAGCTAATGTAGATTGCATGTGTTTGGGTTTATCCCAATTTATCTGAAATTACTAGACTTAACCGTTACTTCCATAGACTCAATACAGTTTTACTTTCATCTCCATTTTAAACATGCATATTTTCGGATTTATGATGACAAGGCAACATCACTACTACAGAAACCAGTAAATTATAAAATCGCTCAATATATTACCTTTATAAATCATGGTAAATATAATCGTATTTACAAACAGTTCAGATAGTTATATATATATAACTAAATATAAATTTAAAGCTACAGCATGATTAATTTAAAACCCAAGCAAAAACCTACGACATAATCTTGTAATCAATCAGAGATTTGAGAAATTTGAGTAAGTGAAAGATCAAACCAGATTTTCAAAACCTTATAACCTGTAGACTTTAGTCCAACGGTTATACCAATCCAACCAACAAAATAGTGAACTATCCTAAAGAAGTGATGTGAGGATGCAAATGAGCGTAATACATGACGTCATAAATTTTTCAAGAAAACAATTGTTATAAAAAAGAACAAGTTATATTCCCAAAAAACCTTATAGAAAGACAAAGGTGTAACTGAATTGTAAATTTTAGGAATAAAATCATGTAGGATTGTAAATTTTAGGAATAAAATCATGTGGAATAAAGAATTCCATGAAATTCCACAAAATTGTTACCAGAAATGGAAAAGCAAAATCATTCCACTTATTCCATTCATTTCATAAAGGAAAAAACTAATGTTATTGAAAAATAATTCCACTTTAAAAATGTTAAGGAATAAATAGAATGCAATTTTCATTCAATTCCACATTTCTTTATTCCACATAAATTTATTTCTTTTATTTTATTTATTTCAACTTGTTATTACCAGTTACAGCCAAAGTTTTAATTTCATTACTATTTGTATCGTAAAAATGCAAAATGGTTTTCTTTGCAAAACTTTTATGAAAGTTTTTTACGTTCTAGTTTGTAATGTTTATAGATCGTTTATTTTGATTAATGTTTCTCTAACCGACGATAAAACTGGGACGTTGCGAAGCAGATTAAATCAAATGTCTTAAAGTGGCTTTACTGTATAGTATTAATTACCTTAAATAAAGATCATTGTTTTGCAAACGATTTGAGTAATGATGAAAGTGAGGAATTATAACAAACATTGTTCCTCTTAAATTGTTTTCAACCAATACTTCATTTGTCTCACTCTCTCTCATCTCTATAAATATAAGCACTTTTGCATTCTCTATGACACATCACTCATTTCTTTCCTCATCATTCTTTCTACGTCAAACCCAACCTTAATCTAACTTTGAGAGAATCCACCACACACACACTCACACACACAACAAAATGAAAGAAACGATTACAATCTTATTGACAATTCTCTTAACGTCTATTCCTTCTTGTTTCAGCAGCTACCCATTTGATCATAGAGATGAACCTTTCATGTTTTCCAATGCTTTTTATGAAACGAATCATCTACATGGCCACCACATTACACGCAACAGTCACATGCAAAATCTCCATGGGTATGCTCCTGCACCTTCTCCTCGAGCACGCAACAGTCACAAGCAGAATCGCCATGGACGTCCTCCTAAAGCTTTTAACGTCAACAATTTTGGTGCTAAAGCCAACGGAAACGACGATTCTGGGGTATATACTACATATTATTTATTTCTATCGCAATATAACCAAATCTGTTACAATCAATTAACGTAAATGAAATATATGTTTGAGTCGTAGGCATTCATGAAAGCTTGGGAAGCAGCTTGTTCGTCAACCGGAACAGTTTACGTCGTGGTTCCGAAAAATAGAGCTTACAGGCTTAAACCGGTTAAATTCTCCGGTCCGTGTGAATCATCCCTGATTGTTTTTAAGGTATGATATATACGAGAGATAAAAGTAGTCTTAATTAAAAGTTCACATTGTGGAATGTATCATCATCTTATTTATAATCTTTTTTTTTAGCTTTACGGAAATATCGAGGCATGGAAAAAATCATCAGCCTACGGGGATCGTAGGCACTGGATTGTGTTCGAAGCTGTGGATAACCTTCGTGTTGAAGGTGGCGGTCGCATCGACGGTAATGGAAAGGTGTGGTGGCCAAAATCTTGCAAAATCAACCCTCAACTTGTAAGCTATTCTTAATTTGGATCAATATCTTACGTAAGTTAATTAATAGGATTCTGACTAAAGAAAAATACCATTTATTTATTTTGTTAAACAGCCATGCCTACGAGCTCCGACGGTGAGAACCTCAAACGCATTACCTTGATCCCGATTTTAATTTCAATTCTGATGGCTACTAATAAATAAACAATAAAAGGAATAATATGTAATGAAAATAAATGGGTGGGGGCATGCAGGCGGTTACGTTTGTGGGGTGCAATAACTTGATGGTAAGTAACATTAGGTTGGAAAACGCACAGCAAATGCATATGACGTTTCAAGATTGCGAAAACGTGAAGGCTTTGCATCTTATGGTCACATCTCCGGGCAACAGTCCCAACACAGATGGCCTTCACGTTACCGGAACTCGCAATATCCTCATTCAAGACTCTATCATCCGTACTGGTATTTTAGTTATTGAACCCTATAAAAATGCTCCATGTTTGTTTCAATATTCCAAAACATTCCTACAAAAACAGTTAACTTATCTTCTATTTACATATTTTATGTGTTGGGTTTGGTTTTGGTGATGCCCTCAGGTGATGATTGTATATCGATAGTGAGTGGGTCGGAGAATGTGAGAGCGACGGGCATTACATGCGGGCCGGGTCATGGAATCAGGTCTAACCATTTCTCTCCCTAATTTCACCTAAAGTTTTTGTTTTTATCTTATTTTAAGCAATCATACTATGTGCAACAATTACACTTGTCAACTAACTGTTTTTTTGTTTTGTTTGAAAGCTATCAACTAATTTTTATCAACTTGTAATCATTTTTTTTATAGAAAAATGAGATGCTCAAAATCAATCAAATAAATGCTACTCACTCTGTTTCAGAAAGAGTGTCATTTTGACACTTTTCACACATATTAAGAAACTTAATAAAAAGTTTTTTCTGTTTTTCATAAATACACTAAACAATTTTCTCTTTCTAATTAATACACTAAAATAACAAGATTATAATTAGATTTTTAATTAAAAATTTGCATTGAAAATACAAAACGACAGTTTTTGTGAAACAAAAATAAAACTTTAAAACAACACTCTTTATGAAACGGAGAGAGTATAAGTTACTAAAATATACGAGTTTTTAAAAATTCTTTGATTTTTAAAAATATACGAGTCAATAAATGCCTACGTAGGAGTTTGGCTATTCTTTTTTTTTTTAAAATGTCAATGATTTTTTTTTTTTATTGGCTATTCTTTAGCATTGGGAGTTTGGGAGAAGGCAACTCAGAAGCATATGTTTCAAATGTGTTAGTCAACAAAGCGACTCTTATAGGAACCACTAATGGTGTGAGAATCAAAACTTGGCAGGTAAATCCCCAACACTCTATTAATTTTTCAATATTTTCTTCCAACTTAATTTGATGTTTAAAACTAAGAAAAAAACATGATCAGGGAGGACATGGAGTGGCAAAGAACATCATATTCCAAGACATCATTATGAAAAACGTTACAAACCCAATAATCATCAATCAGGACTATTGTGATCGTGTTGAATCATGTCCCGAGCAGGTTTGAACCAAATTAGCAAATCTTTTCAACACAATTAAGAGTTATTATAATAATAAGTAATAAAACTGAGATGGGATACGTGGCAGAAATCGGCGGTCCAAGTGAGCAATGTATTGTACAAAAACATTCAAGGCACGAGCTCAAGACCCATAGCTGTGAAATTTGAGTGCAGCAAGAGCATCCCATGTCGAGGCATCTCGATGCAAAACGTTAGATTGTTCGACCAAACTAGACAAGATGTCTCCAAAGCTTCTTGCTCCAATGTGAGGTTGGACACTCGAGGACATGTTTCTCCTCTTTGCACTTGATCTCTCTATTTATCCACATGTCCTCAGAGAACTAAGTCAGTCTTTTTCTCGACCAATTTTTTTTTGAAAACGTTATGGACGTTTTCCGAGGAAATGGGATTGTAATGTTAATTATAATTAGGACATTTGATATTGGTTAGGAGTGAAACAAATGTGTTCGATTTCTGTAATAAGTCTTTATTTCGAAAGAAACAACAACAAAAACTGGATACATGTATTTTCCTTCTTTAACGGTAGATTTTAATCATATCACTTGAATAGAAGAACTTCATTATGTATAAACAAAAATGCAGAGAAACTCATGAACATGTTACAAAACCAGAAGTGTTGGCATCTCTCGAGGGACAAAAAAAACACAAGGAGTGCCACACACACAACCCACCAATTACAAAAGTTTAGTAAATATAAAAAGAAGAAGAAGAAGAAGATATACACTTTGGGTGAATTCTTCCTGCAAAAATGGGAATAAATGTACAGTCCGAAGGGAGAGGTTGGTTTTGAACTCTCACAAGATGGTGTTGATGTGAAGTGCTTTGAGGAGAGAAGTTGCCATTTGCTTCACCAGAACTTGCCCTCCCGAACGTTGTCCATCACGCCGTTCTTCAATCAGATTCTTCAGTTTCTGAGGGAGATCGTTCTCTACGATCAGCTGTTTTGGCCTTTGATGGTGCTCGTAAACAGCCTGTTTCAATGATTGCCAAAACCAAACACTCAAACACCAAGAACAAGACAGGCAAGAAGTCGGACAGTGGAACGATCCATTACCTTTATGAGTTTCAGGAGGTTAAGTCGAGCAATCGCATCTTGGTGGTCTAGTCTTGAAATAAGTAACGGAGTCAATCCATTTACACCTAATGTCGTGTTTATTCGAGATGATTTCCTGAATTCAACACGGAGAAGGATTAGCTCCATTTTAAGAGGAGATATAGCACTCAGTATCAGAGGACTAGAGAAGCGGCCAACTTCACTCATAGTTCTAACTTTGTCATGACATTGTGAGAACACTTTGGAAAGAGAAGAGATACATACGTGATAATCTTCAAGAATGGCTCCAGTATGTGCACGAAATGTCTCTCTGGACAGCTCTGGAAGAAGTTGACTAATTTCTGAATTGCATCTTTCTTGAGCAATGCCTGCTCCACCTTGCGGTTGTCATTGTCTTGCGCCAAGCAAACAGCAATAGAATCTAAGGCTATCACGGACCAATATTCGTCATCGAGCAAACTCAGGTAAACATCGAGACCGCCATGGGCCCTTAACTGCTCTCTTGAATTCCGAGATGCATGAGCCATATCACATAGTAGTGGCAAAGCATATTGTTTCAGAGGAGAATCCGACATGACGAAAAGCATCAGGTGCGGTATGATTCCATTTTCAGCCGCTTGTTCCTGCCTCCTCTTGTTTATCTTGCACAGGTTGAATAGTGCACTAAGTACCTACACAAAAATACAATTATAGAAACGTCAGTTAAAACGACTAAAAGCAGCAATGGATGATATAAAGACTACAACAAGAACCCAACTATCTCTGTTCAAGTCAAGAAGGTAACCTCATGATGAATCTGATAAACAAGATCCCCATCCTTAAGCTCAAGGTTGGGGATCAAGTGCTTAATTGCATCTGCACGCTGAAGATTCTCCAAGCAGTTTGGATCAGTGGATAAATGATTGGTGCACTGCAGTATCTGGACAAACAGAAGGCACTGTAAGCATGCTACCTAAATATCCTCTAAACCACACATCCTAGCTTCGCCAGAAAATTTATAGGAAGCAGCTACGGAGGGGAAAAAAAAGAGAAGACACTTGATAATATTTTCAAGTACCTTCAACAGAATAGGAGGTTCTACACGGTTGAACATCTGGAAAAGACGACTGAGTAAGCTTTGGCTGCACATGTATGATTTTACCGTTGTATCAGCTCGTGCAAATTCAAGAAGCAGATCAGCCACTTTCTCCAAGTATTCCCTTGCGACGTCTGCACTCAGCGTAGAGACCATATGGGCAAGTAAACCAGATGATGTGGCACTTCCAGGTCTAGCATTTAGAACACCCGAACCTGACAGAACACCAGATGCTGTCTGAGATGCAATCCCAGCGACCCCTTCAATAGCCATAACCTTCTTTGTCATCGTTTTAGTGTAATATCTAGGGGTAGTATCAAGATTTCCGTTTTCCTTTCCACGTCCAGAGACCTCTGAAGACACAATGTAATGAGATAAGGCACAAACTAAAAATTCATATACGTGCTTACAATACGAGCAGCCTTGCTAAATATAATAGAACTTTGAAAATTACCTGCAAATTCGGCCATCAGAAAACCAAGGTCTCCATTGGCTTTCTTTTCGGTTGATGCATGCAAAAGAGGAAATCTACTTTCATGTCTCTCTATGCCAGTGATGTGCTTAACGTAATCCAGTTGACCAGAAAAATGTCTTGAAGGGGGTTCTTTCTCCAACAAGCTAAGCAAAGGTCGTACTTGTTCTTCTGGCTGAGTCGTAACGGGGAAACCATTAGACGCACCCTCCGCCAGATTCTGAAGCTTATCTGTCGATGTTCTGCTGGCAGAGAAAGATATCCTACGCTGTTGTCTAACATCTTCTGTGGCATCTGGTGCAACACTGCTTACTCTAGGCCTATCAGCATCTGGGTGCATGGCATCTGGTTGGTGGACATCTGATCTTTGAGAATGTGAAGTTGATGCACGAGAAGGCTCTTCACCACCCCCATGCCTAGTTTTCAACACATCAGGATGATCCATCACACTGAGTGAAGCCTCGTGCTGACTAAAAATAGGATTGATAGGGTCAAGTTGACCAGAGCGCGCTCGTGGAGTTTGACCATCCCCAGTCAATACGCCCCCTGATATAGATGTCAGTCGAGTTGCCTCATTTAAGCTATAAAGAGTGTTGATCAGCCTAAGAAGAATTCCATTCTTTGCAGCTATTCGGCAGAAATCATTTCTCGGGGTGGATCTTTTGAGTTTAAATACCTGCCACATCCCATCAATGGCTAAGTGAACCATCTCCCTGGATAGAGAAGTCAAAATCAGTAGAGTTTAGTAGCACATAAAGAGTGGAAAGGACCGTAACTGATTAAAGAGAGAAGAACTATATCAAGATGAGAAAATAAGCTGTCTTCTCTTGTGATACATCTTACATTAACTTCTGTGGTTAATATATTTAAAGTATTCCAAACACCATATGAAGACGGTAAACTGTACCCACCTGTATTTGGCATAATCTGCTTCAAGAAATCCCACCAAAACTGGTATTCCACGGCAAGCTATGAACATTTGCAATGTCAAGGGGCTGTAAAGATGCTACCAAATTAACTCTATGAATTACATTACAGAAGAAGAAAAAGGCAAAATAATAATTATTTGATGACTTGTAACCTAGACTGACAAAGCTGCTGCAAGAAGTATGCTGCTTCCTTGCGAATTTCTCGAGAACGATCTCTCTCAGGACCAGCAAAACTCATTACCACAGGAATCTGCCATTTCACTTAAATTAATCAATTTTCATGAGACTGTTTTTTGTCACATCAAAGAAAACAGAGTTGACTATTTAAGAGATAACGACACCATGTACTAATTTAATTATCTACAAATTTTCTCAAAATAGTGTTAGCTGTTGAAATGGATGTTTGAGACTTAAGATAGAAATGTAGACACGAGCCTTTGATAAAACAATTTGGCCAAAAGCACCCAGCTATAACAAGTAACTACTGGTGATTCACCAAGTCCTAACCCAATCGAAAGTAAGAGACTTACGAGACCAACGAGACAAGCATTTTCCTGGAAGTCGGTGTTATCTTTTATAATTTCGTTTATCAGCTGCATCACGGCACATATTATCTGTAAACACACCAGAAAAGATTCACAAGCATAAGCCAGTTAGTATTCACATCGAACTGACAATAAAAAATCCATTGCAAATAAACATACTCGTGATTTAGGAATATCGAGTAGATCCATCAGAGGGAGGAAACCATGCTGTGTCACAAATACTGCTTTCTGCTCAGGTCTCTGACGAAACATGACAACAAGTTTCTGACAGGAAGTTACTATTGCATCTTCTGATTCATTTGGCCTTAGGAAGCTCACCAATCTGCTAAACTCGACTGCCTATAAGAAGTTAACAAATTAATACTAAGATTGGGAATCGCAAAATGATGGAAACAGCTAAAACTGAGTTGATCAGAAACAATGGTTCAGTTCCCTTTTCAACATTTTAATTATGAAGTGGATCAGTAAAGTAGCATCAGCAATAATATAAAGTGCCAATAGATTGCCAAAACTTCAGGGTATAAATTTGCAGAATACAGTACCTGCAGTGGAAAAAGATTCTCCGCAGGCATTTTTTCATCAAATACCTGAGGAAAGAAGATATGAAAAATATGTTAATAGTACACTACTTAACTGATCAAACCTGCATGCTTGAGACAGCATACCAAGCCATCAATGTCAATAACATCATCCTTCAAAACACCCATCATTAACCGGAAAAGATCACCACCATCATTGGATTGCCCCGTTTCACCCTCCATTTGCTTCTGAGCAATTCTAGCCCTCAATTTTGTTGCCAGATCATTCTTGCCACCATCTGCGACGGGAGAATCACTCTGATTGACATTTGAAGCAGGCGTCGATGTTGAGGCTTCATTTGGTTTTCCCTCATGAACTTTATCCAATGGATGAAACAAATCATGCAAAGAAGCATCCCCAGGAGGATCACTAAATCTTGTCAGTTCATTCCCACCAAAACTAGATGGAGTCTTCACAGCCTTTAAGATAGATATAACAAACATAACAGATCTAGTCAGTCTGCAAGTCTTCAACTCAGTATAAGGCAGCAATCAACAACCATAAATTAAGAAACATTTTTCTTAAAATAAAACATTCAGTAATAAACACATATTCACAAAGTGGGAGAGCATTGAGATAATATCTTGTAAATAAGAAGACCACGGCCCTACAACAAACAAAATCTATCTCACTGTTGAATCCTCTAAGCATGGAAGAGCGGAATATGCCAAAGACAAAATCAAATACAGTAGAAAATTGTTGTGTTTCTATCAGTAAAGAAAAAAGAAATTTATCAATTAACACAAAGCACATCGTACTCCCTCCTGATTGACCATATTATCTAAGAAAGTGCTAGGACAAGAACGACGTAACAGCACAACTGACCTTTCGAAGCCCACGATCTTCACCTTTTTGGCCAAAACTATGTGATGTCTGATACACTTGGTTGGAACATTCTTTTCCAACCTGCTTTGTTGCTAAAGTATTTCTTCTACCTTCAGAAGATTCCGTTTCAAGATTTCCAGGTATGTCATCATGTTCAGATTTCCCATCTTGAGATGTCTCCTTTGCATCCGAAGATATACTGCAAGTACCGGACTGAAGAGAAGACTTATCATGGATAGACAACGGATCATCTTCGGAATCCGTTCCTTCTTCACCAAGATCACTGGGTAAAGACTGATCTTTCTCAGACCTAAAACTCGCCACACCTACCACAGGTAATTTGCTTTTCGAGTTCTGGACAAAACAAAAAAAGCACTGGATCAGTAGCTTTAGCAAAGCTCATTTGTAGCTTTAATGCGTATAGTGCTCATCTCTAAATTACTTATATGCCTCTCCAAAAGATCGATTGATGGTAAAATAGAGCTTAGGTTTCTTACGGTTTTTGACATCCCCACTTTTTCTGCTGAAAAGCTCTCAGCTACATCTTGACTACCTTCACCATCCTTCTCTGAACTTGGGGAGGCTTCCTTCATATATCTGCAAAGGATGACGTACCCAAGGACAGCATTACTAACACATTTGCTAAGTCCTAAGATGAGATGGATAATAAATTTTGAAATACTCTTCCAAAAGTTAAAGTAAAATACACAGGTTCTCACCTGATGGTGCCACTATGCCGAAGTGATGACTGCAATGCTCGTCTAGAGTTCCTTATCCAAGGGTGAGAAAGCAGTGTCTTCGCATCAGGCCTCTGCCTGGAATCCTGCAATATACAATTTACAAATAGGAAATGAAATAAATCAAAGTGCCAAAAGTTCAGGTACAGAGGTAGGTAGAATGATAAAACACCATTGCACCAAACTATACCTTCTTGAAGCACTGTCGCAGGAAGTCTGTAATATCTGGAGAGAGACTATCAGGAATAGGAGGGCTATCATCCTAAAACAAAACCAGAAAGGCAATAGTTTGAAATTAATGGCTAACATCTTCTGCATTTTTTTTCAGTGATAGAAGTGACTTGCAACAAGGAAGAATAAGAAAAAGGGGAAGGAAGAGACACTTATATCTAATTGAATTAAAGCAAACTCATAAAATTTTGGGAAAACCTGAACAATACGAAAGAGAGCAGGCATGGGTTGCAGATCATAGTAAGGAGGTACGCATGTCAAAAGTTCGATAACAGTGCATCCAACACTCCAAATGTCAGAAGCTGCACAAACTCCTGACATTTCAATAACCTGAAACAAAGTTTGGGTATTCCTCAGTACACACATAATCAGTTATAAGTTTTCTAAAGGAGAAAACAAGAACAAATCCAGTTTTAGAAATTACATATACGAAAATTAACCTACACAGAATGTGATGATGGAAGATACATGTATATATATTATCAAATGTGTACCTCAGGAGCCATCCAGTAAGGCGTTCCAACCACTGAGTGAGTGTTAACATCAGCCTCGTTTAGTTTAGTGGCAACTCCAAAGTCAGCAAGCTTAACAAGGCCCTGAAGTACGAGATTTTCAAGTATCTAAGAAAAGAATAGCCTAGAAGAATCTTGTGCATCCCAGAATACAACAGACCTCCTTGAAACGTACTGAAGACATGAGATAGAGAAAAACACACCTCCTTCGTTGTCAGAATATTTGCACCTTTGATATCACGATGTATGACACCCTGCTCATGCAGATATACTAAACCTTCCAACACCTGTATTCTCACTACTTAGTGCACATAATGTTTGCAGGAATTTAACTCAACTAGAGAGAGATATATATCCTGACCTGCGCAATGTAAACAGTGACCAACGATTCTGGAAAAGGTCCAAATTTATTTGGTTTGATAATGTTTGCAAGAGAGCCATTCTCAACGTACCTGCAAACAAACACATGATTGGACTTGAATTTCCAGACCACAATCCAGCGTGGACCAAAAACAAACACAAAAGTACTACTTACTCCAGAATAATGTGAAGGTGAGTCTTTGTCTTCAACGACCCAAGATACTTGACAATGTTTTTATGGTTCAAGTTCTGCCTTGAAAATAACATCTTAGAAGGCATAGAGGAAGACTACAATATTTTACTGCGGCATATGGAAGAAAGAAGCTACCTTCAACAGATCGATTTCTTGCTGGAGAAAAAAATCATCCCAAAAGCGGAGAGAGAACCATCAAAGTGTAAAACCAGGATTCAGCAAGCATATCAGTGGTAAGGAAATGAAGAGACCACATAAAGATATATAACCAATAAGACAGATTCTAAAAAGAAAAGATTAACAAACCATTATGGTGTTAAGATCCTCTTGAACAATGTTTTCCAATGAGACTTGCTTAATGGCCACAAAGTCTCCATTTTCCAGGTCCAATCCTATATAAACCCGACCATAAGCTCCTTTACCAATCTCATCCCCAAGCATCTGCGCTCAAAAGTCAAAAAAAAAAACAACCTTGGAGTAACTAAAAGCTCTGGGCAGACGAAGATCAATAAACACAAACAAACTTTCATGGTTTTTAACATTCCAATTTCAAATTTTGATAAGACCCAAATCCCAGGAAATGAAATGCGGAAGCTTTACATATTTGTTGTCGAGAGTCTTTGATTTGTGGAACTGAGATGACGTCATTTGTCTCGCCATCTCTTCTCCTTCACCTCCTCCTCCGTCAGCAAAAACGCAAACGAACAATTGCTACTCAAGAAAAGCGATCCATTTACGAGGGAAAAGCGATTATTAGGGTTTAATTACCAAGAAATTGAAGGATTCGAGTTGCCAGTCCTATTACAGTTGTTAAATATGCCAATTTAATCAAATTATAAATTAAAAAATACCCGAAAGAAAAATATAAAAAGACAACTAAGATTTCTGTTGATTCCTCCTCATACGCCTGTTTCTTTGTTTATTATGCGGCCCATATGTTTTTCTTTCTTTACGGTTTCAACCCTTTATTTCTAGAAGTGTACATTTAGCCTTTTGTCCAATTACTGATTTTTATTATTTTTGAAGTCGGTTCAACTATTAAGATGCTTCTTTGTAGTTGGAGCTGGGATAGTCGATTTTTTTCGTAGCCAATAAAATTAGAATCTCATTAGAATGTGATCTTTGATACAAACAATCTAGCGCCCGTTCATTAAGTTTGTACTATAAACATGATGATTTATGTATGATGCATGTGTGTAAACATGATTCCAAAATAATTGTAGATACCATAAGATAAGAGAGCATAACTCACATTTGAGAGCAGACCAGACATATCCACGTCACAAACATATCACAACAGTCTAATACTCAGCAATTTACTTTCAGTCTCTGAGATGATAATAAACCACTCAAATTTTGGATAGTCACTTGTCAAAAATACCTTTTTTGACTTCTTTGGAAAATACAAAAAGTACTCAAAGACAAGATTCGTTTTTTTATAAAAGCGATTATCTAAGGGAATTTTTCAAGTAAATGCTAGCCTCTGACAAAACCAGACAGGCCCATGTCACAACCAAAATGACGTCTGGGAAAGCTCGTGAATTGATCAATTTAATTGGGGGTAACACTGTGACAAGTATAAATATTTTCTTAGTAAAAGAGATAGAGAAGAAAAAGATGGTCCCTTTTAGCTTATTTCCCTTTTCTTTACTCAGTAGTTGCACTGTTCTGTTAAGTAACTGTAAGTTTGACTTTGCGAAAATTCAATGTCTCTCAGACTCAGACTCACTCACTGAGAAACCTCCAAATCGTGAGGAACCAATCCATAGCTCCAGATCTAGCTCTCTTAGATCTGATTCCATGGATTGCTCTCTTCTTCTAATCTCTCTCTTACTCACAATTCCTTCATTTGCTGCCTCTTCTTATGTGGAAGAACAAAATAGAGACAGGATCATTGAGTTACCTGGACAACCTAGTAATGTCGATTTCAGACAGTACTCAGGTTACATTACTGTGAATGAAGAACGTGGAAGGGCTTTGTTCTACTGGCTTGTCGAGTCTCCATCGACCCGTGACCCAAAGTCTAGACCTTTGGTTCTGTGGCTCAATGGAGGTCCTGGTTGTTCCTCTGTTGCCTATGGTGCTGCTGAAGAAATCGGACCTTTTCGTGTTGGGTCTGATGGGAAAACTCTTCACCCCAAACTTTATGCTTGGAATAAATGTACTAATCCTTCTAAATCTATCTATCAATCATTCTTCTCTTTCACAATTTTCGATTCAGATTTGGTCTCTTTCTCTCTCTTTTTTCAGTAGCGAACTTGCTTTTCTTGGAGTCTCCAGCTGGAGTTGGTTTCTCATATACAAACACCACTTCAGATCTCTACACAACCGGTGATCAGAGAACTGGTACAACTCTTTGCTTCTCCTCTATGCTCTTATTTTCAGGCTCTCTTGTGCTTGACTGATGTCTTATCTTGACGAATCTGCAGCTGAAGATGCACATAGATTTCTTGTCAACTGGTTTGAGAGGTTTCCACAATACAAGCATAGAGATTTTTACATTATTGGAGAAAGCTATGCAGGTTTCAAAATTTCTACCTTCAAGCTCTCTTCATTTTCAGAAATGGCTGATGCTTAGTCTTGAGTCTCCTTCTCTCTCTCGAACAGGTCATTTTGTTCCTCAGTTGTCTAAACTCGTCTATGAAAGAAACAAGGGCTTCAAGAGCCCTGCGATAAACCTCAAAGGCTTTATGGTAAAGATTCGGAAAATTTCAAGACTTGTTTTTTACAAGATTGTAATAGACTTTTGGGATTTTTAAATATCTGCTTATTCAGGTGGGAAATGCTGTTACAGATGACTACCATGATTATATAGGAACATTCGAATACTGGTGGAATCACGGTCTCATATCCGATTCCACTTATCACCAACTAAAGACGGCGTGCTACTCAGTATCATCTCAGCATCCTTCACTACAGTGTATGGAAGCTTTGAGAAACGCCGAACTAGAGCAAGGAAACATCGATCCGTATAGCATTTTCACCAAACCCTGCAACAATACTGTACAGCTCAAGAGCTTCTTGAGGGTAAGTTTCATACCTTCAGAAAGCATTTCGGATCATTTGTTGTTTGTGTTTTATATGGGCTAATGCTACATTTTGTGTTGAAAACTCAGCCATGGATGTCAAGAGCATATGATCCTTGTACAGAGAGGTATGCGAATGTGTACTTTAACCGCGTGGAAGTTCAGAAGGCTCTACACGCAAATGTCACTCGCTTGCCTTACCCTTGGAAATCATGCAGGTCTAAACAATTTCTACTTCTAATTGTATCAAAATGGTACTGGTGTATATAGTATACTTTGATTAAAATTTTGTTTCGGTCCCTTGCAGTGACATTGTAGGAAGCTATTGGACAGATTCACCTGTTTCTATGCTACCAATATACAGAGAACTGATTGCTGCAGGTCTCAAAATATGGGTCTTCAGGTACCAATTTGTAACGAAACGTTGTGTGCTTGTATCCCTTAAATGCAAATGAAAGGTTGCTTGATCAATCTGAATATGCAGTGGAGATACAGACGCGGTGGTTCCTGTGACTGCAACCCGATACTCTGTAGATGCACTGAAGCTGGCTACCATCACCAACTGGTACCCTTGGTACGATCATGGCAAGGTGAGAAAAAATGGAGCTTTCCTCAAGTTAATATAATAATATCTATGCAGAAAGCAGGAATTGATCTGAGGGGTCCATGTATTGTGATTTTGTAGGTTGGTGGATGGAGTCAAGTGTACAAAGGGCTTACATTAGTGACAGTAGCAGGAGCTGGTCATGAAGTGCCTCTACACCGTCCTCGTCAAGCCTTTATTCTTTTCAGATCCTTTCTAGAGAATAAACCGATGCCAATGACCTGAAAAAACAAACCTTGAACTGATCTCTACCCCAAGATTCCTATTCTTTCTTCTTCTTCATCAATAAAACCAATGTCTCTTCTTCATTCATTGTCTTCCTTGGTACATCCACACCATTGGTTAGCTGTTTAGCACAAGTCATAAGCCACTCTTCCTCTCTGTGTAAAATCTTTATTTTCAAACAGTGTTTCTATCAATTCTCCAGATTTATAAAAGTATACGTTGCCGCTTACATACGCACTACAAAATTTCGATATCATATATCTTATCTGTTTTTAGAATTGTTACCACAACTAAACCAGAGACGCAACCACGAGCTGATACAACGATGCGTGCTGACTCATGTGTGTTTGATTAAGAGAGTCTTTGAAACATTCACTAGGAGATGCTTCCATCACTTGAAGCCTCTCTATCTGTCTCTCTTGGGTTGTTTTCCAAAACGCGGAACAACCACAGGACCACCACGCACCCTTGCAAGGGCAAAACTGATTCTCAATGGCCGACCCAATAATCCCTGTACGTAACAAAGAACTCACTTAACAACACCATTCACCATTCATAGTCAAAGCAAAAACAAATCCTTTCCTTTCTTGTTTGCTCTTTACCTTCCCATCCATGGCGTGTTTCGCAGATAGAGCATCGTCCTCCTCTGCAAAATCTACAAAGCCGTATCCTCTTGATCTCCCACTTCCTTTGTCGTACGCAATCCTAACTGAAAACACAAATACATTTTACACATTTAAGTGGAAAAATTGCAACTCAACGCTCTTCATTGTCAGGCATTGGATTTCCAGGTGAGAGAGTAAGAGCAAATCAAATGTCCCAGCCAGAGACTCACTGAGACATTTCATCGAACACCTGGAGGAGTTTATAGATGATGATCACAAAATGCTTACCTTCTGAAACCTCCCCAAAGGAAGAGAATGCGTCTTTGAGCGATTGCTCATCCACCGACCAGGACAATCCTGCATACGGGTATCATCAAAATTCAGTCATTTTCATTGTAAATATGTAAGTGTTCGGTTCCATACTATATTAACTCATTCAAACCTCCGATGAAGAGCTTGGAACTGGGTGAAGCAGAAGAGGATGAGCAAAACTGAGGAAGAAATCGGAAGGTAGAAGAAATCGAGTGTTGAGGTATCGCTGAAACTCGTCTCACCAGTAGCTCAATTCCATTCCTCATGATCAATTAAAAATTTCACCTTTGTTTGTGTTTTTTAAAAATATAAAGTTTGTATTTTCATTTCTTAGTATTATTCAAATTTCCTTTAAAAGAATGTGGCTGAGGAGGACCAGCCGAAAAGGATAAATCATTTTCGCCAACATCATCCACTTCTTCTTCTTCTTCTTCTTCTTCTTCTAATCTTCGTAAAGCCTCCTCCTTCAATGGCGACGCTGGGTTTCAACGCCACTCGAATCCGGACACCTTCACTTCCCAGAATCCCTCGATCATCTTCTTTTACCAAACCCATCAAAACATCTCTCTTCTCCTCCGAGTCCCTCTCGAAACGCTGCCGTTTCGTCTCTAGATCCTTACCCGAGAGCTCACTGTCGATTACAAAAGAAGAGGCAATCATCAAACAAGAGGAAGAAAGCCAAGTAGAGGAAGATGATCCGACATCGGAGCTGAGTTATCTTGATCCGGAAACCGATTCAGAGGGGATAAAAGAGTGGGAACTGGATTTCTGCTCGAGGCCGATCCTCGATTCCAGAGGGAAGAAGATATGGGAGCTTGTGGTTTGCGATGCTTCACTCTCGCTTCAAGTGACCAAATACTTCCCCAACAATGTCATTAACAGTATTACTCTCAAAGACGCCATAGTTTCCATCACACAAGACTTGGGTGTTCCCCTCCCTGAGAAGATTCGCTTCTTCAGGTGGATATGACAAGTTTATAAAAAGGAGTTTTTTTTTATATAATGGAAGTGTAATCTTAATGTTGAAATTGTTCATTTTGCAGGTCACAGATGCAAACCATTATCACAAAAGCTTGCAAAGAACTTGCCATAAAGGCTGTGCCTAGTAAACGGGTGAGCAATGTTTTCTGCTGTACATTTTTCTTTTACATTAGAACGAGTTCGTAACAATAAACTAAATTCTGGATTGGCAGTGTCTCTCTCTGTTTCTGTGGTTGCAAGAACGTTATGACACTGTGTACACGCGTCATCCCGGATTTCAGAAGGGGTCATTGCCTCTTCTATCTTTAGACAATCCCTTCCCAATGAATCTTCCGGAGAACTTATTTGGGGAGAAATGGGCATTTGTTCAATTGCCTTACTCAGCTGTTAGAGAAGAGATCTCATGCTTTGATGAGAAGTTTGTGTTTGGTGCAACCTTAGACTTGGATTTGCTTGGCATTGAAGTGGATGAGAACACACTGATTCCGGGTCTCTCTGTTGCTTCTTCACGGGCTAAACCTCTAGCAGGTGAGTGTGTGGTTTCTTGCTAAAACCATCTTGAGCAAGCTAGTTTTTTTTTTGTTGCAATGTGGTTTTTGATCCTGAGTTTTTTTATGTACATGTGTCATTATAGCTTGGATGAATGGGCTTGAGGTATGTTCGATCGAAGCAGACAGCTCCAAAGGATGTTTGATTCTATCTGTTGGGATCTCGACAAGATATGTCTACGCTACCTACAAGAAAACACCGGTTACTACTGATGAAGCTGAAGCTTGGGAATCTGCAAAGAAAGCAAGTGGAGGTTTGCATTTTCTTGCAATTCAAGATGACTTAGATTCTGATGATTGTGTTGGCTTTTGGTTGCTTATTGATTTGCCACCACCCCCTGTTTGATTTCAATTTTATAATTGCCGGTTCAACCCGGTTCAATCCGAGCCGACCGTGGGATACCTTCATTTATAATAACCAAATCGCAAAATAATCATTTTTCTTTGTTCAAATCTTTACACACCTACAGTATATTAATTCCTGATCAAATCGTTCACAAATTAAAAGACTAAAGCTGATAATTTTTTGTTTGATTTCATCATCTTATTACATTAAGATATTTCCACAGCCTATGTATTTCGCCTTAGATCATAAGCCACTTCGAATGAAAACAGATTCGTTTGGGTTTCTCAAATCTTCTTCATGTGGCTCGCACACAAAAAGTCAGTGACTAAAACGCTGCGTGATGGTCCGTCCAATCAACTCCTAGACCTCTTTTGCTTCTGCGGTATGAAGCGGACACTGTGCTTTCCGAGTTCAAATGTCTTGATGCTTCCATCATCTAGAGAAACCGACAATGTGGATGAGTCTCCAATAACGTCTGTTACTGTTCCTTTCTTCCTTTTAACAGTAAATGTATTTATTAGTTTGAGATATTGCATTTGGATGCAAAGAGGAAGCCAAAACATGAGAGTTAAGAAGACCAAACTTGGTACTTACCATGAGTTTTGAGATCCAAGGACTTCGACTCTCTTTCCTATTGAATCTTTACCCAACTTTTTCAAAATCCAGTTAGCATCCATCATCTCATCGCTCCTTGAACTATCTGGATGAGAATGTGTTGTAGCTTCACCGTCTTCCTCCAAGGAAGCCTTATCCACTAAGCTTGACGGTCTCTTTCTCTTCGATCTTTGACCCTTTGCGGAACTCAGTTTTTCATCCTCAGACTGCGTTGTAACCAAAGATGTCTGATCTCCCGAATTAGGTTTCCTGAGTTTAAATTTCAGCAGAGGCCTTGCTTCTTTCTGTAAAGATGGTGAGGATGTTTTGTCATCCACATGACTTGCTTCACATGTTGATGCAGGGAACTGCGTGATTACCCCAAATGTAGCTTTACTCCCTTCAGAATGAGTTTTGCCAAACCTTCCAGAAATCTTCAAAGTTCGTACTTCGCTTGAAGACTGATCTTTTTTGTCCCTCGGTAAATGAGATACATCATTGGACTTAGAAGAATCACTAACATTAATTTTCCTAGCACCAAGGTTAATGACCAACTTCTTTCCCTTCACAGATTTCTCCTCGCCTGCATTCCTTGAAATATCCTCGCTATCAGAATCGTGAGGCTTGCTACACTTTATTCTGACTATCCTTGATGGCTTTTCCTCATCAGTCACCATAACATCATCAAGCCTCTTGTGTTTCACAATCCTCGGTTCATGTGTTGAGCAAATTCCAGCTACAGAGGATTGAACATCAGATCGTTCATTTATCTGAAACCCCACACTATCTACTCTAGCGCCACCTAGCCTGCGTCTCTGAGATTCAATCTCCTGATGAACTTCAGAATCCTGTTGGGGCTCTATCTTGGTGTGGTGACCTTTTTTACTAGCATGTTTTTTGTTAAAGGAGTATTTCCCATGCTCCTTGCTTTTCTTTGAGGAATTTTCCACCAAGCCTTTGATAGAGAGCTTCAAAGAGCGCCCAGGTACGGGACCACTTTCGTCATCATCTGAAAACGGGAATATCGAAAATATTTCTTCCTCGGTTGGCAAACCAGCAGCAGCCCTCAAAGTAGCAACCAAGTCTTTGTCCACCACATCTTTTTTCTTCCAAAGTTCTTGAACTGCATCCTGATGATCCTTCACCTGCGAGACAAGACAGAATTTGCAAACCAAGAAAACTTATCTGATTAACACACTAGCAAATTGCACTGTTTATAAGAATTAGACGAAACAAGAAGAATGATCTGAGTGACTACGAAGCGAGGATACTCACAACAGGAACATGCATACCTGATAACACTCCCCACGGCATGTGGCACATTTATATTGTAGGTTTCCATCAACTTGAAACTGAAGATATTTCGCATCACTGCATGACAATTTTCAAAAGCAAACAATTCCAGATTTAATATGACTGAAAAGCATTTTGCTCTGGATGTTTTTAGTTCCCAAATCAAATACACAGATGCAATTGCGATAACAATATCTATAATATATAATGATGACGAACCTTATTCCATCGCAATGACAATGCACCCAGCTTTGACAAATATCGCAGCATACCATTGGTGTTGATTCTGAATCCCTATACACCTATACAAAATAAGAACCTTGGTTAATGCAACACTACTAAAGAGGCGCAGATTTAACATAAACTACACGTTTCGGCCAAGGCCAGCGCGCAGTAAAATAATAAAGGCCATGGTAAAAAATACCTTCAAGCATACAGGGCAATAATTTCCCTTCACAAACAATCTGCCACAAGCATCACAGCAAGTATATGATAAAAACCACCTGTTACATTAAATAAAAAAAGAGAGAGAGTAACTGATCAGTGCAATTCCCTAACTCCCCAAAACAAAGTGTCTTGTTCGGCTCACTTATAAGCTAACCAATCCTGCAAAGGACTAAGAATGCACACCTGACACTTAGGCCATTTCCAGGGACAGTAGAATCACAGCTGTGGCATCTTGTATGCTTTGGGCACAGATATGGCCCGGAACTTACATTCTGTGCAGTCCAAATAAAATGCATAAGCCAACGTACTTAATATTCAAAGATAATAGCATGAACAAGCTATCTCTCAAGTACCTTGTGTGGAGGATGTTGGCAATAGCAGTGGTAAGCAGCATCACACCTTTTGCAGAAGACAAACTTGTTAGGATCTCCTGTTCTACGGCAGACCTGAGGAATGTGAAGACTCACAGTGAGGCAAGTTCAAAAACGATAGGCACACATAGTGAGTTTTTTATACACTACACACACTTGGAAACAAACTCTAACTGACCTCGCAAACCCGGCACGAGGGACAACTCCATGAACTCCAATGAAATAAATCTGAAACTTAAAGCAATTAGACGAAGAAGCTGAAGCCTAAGCAAGCCAGCAATAAAGGACAGCAAGGAATTGAATGAAGTACCTCTATGTTGGGCCCAAGACTTTAAACAGTTCTTGTGATACTTCTTGCCACAGTCTTTACAAGAGAGCATCCTCCTTGCTTTCTCACTTCCTTCGCCTTCTCCCAAGAAGCACATTCTGCACATTATATTCATACCGGACTGAGCTAGTTCCTCACCAGCTTGATCACTTGAAGGAAGCTGTACAACGATAGACAAAAACAAAATCAGGTGAAGCTAAGCCAAATAGCCAATACAGAAAAAGCTTTGGTATTACAAAATTCTTCATATCGTCCTCCTAAGAACAAGAATAGTCAATGCAATTGCCAAGGAAAGCTCACGTGGGGGCAACTAACTTTGGTACTGAGGAGAAACCAAATTAAGAAGAAAAAAGGTTACCTCGTTGACACCAGATTCAAACCTCCGAGCGTAATCCTCGGCAGCCTCGACCGTAACGGCGGCTTGTCTCTGAAGAGCAAAACGCTTCTTCTGCGCCGAAGCTTCCTCAGCCGCTTCATCAATGCCGCCATCTCCAACCCCCAAAATCGAAGCCGAGGAAACCGAATGAGGAGCAGGGGCGACCTTAGGAACCCTAACCTGAACCGTAAGAACCCTAGAAGAAGAGCCCCATGGATCGATTAGTAAATCCTCAACTCGATCAACCTCTTTCAGAAACTCCTCCTTGGCATTGGCTCCACGGAGATCCCGAGAAAACCCTAAGGAGCAGGAGCAAAGCCGACGGCTGCAACAAAGGACGGGGTTAACACACACCAAATCCAAAAGAGATGGAGAGAGAGAGAGAGAGAGAGAGAGAGAGAGAGAGAGAGAGAGAAGTGAAGCGTTAAAGGGGAGATTAAAGAGAGATACCATGTAATTGGGCAAGCTACGTGAAAGGCCATATATCCCTCCCCACCCGAAGACAATTATTCCTCAGCCTCCAAGCGGAAAAAAAATTCCAAGATTGATTTTAGAGATCGCTCGCTCTTTTTTTTTTTAATTTATTTTTCATATAAAACAAATAATAGTAGTATTACCGATCGATATAATACAATTAATTATTATTAAGTGTAGAAGAAGGTTTGTCTCCTATCTTCTGTGCGTTCTGACTTCTGAGTTTAGCTTGGAGGCAAGAGAGAGGATAAGATTGCTTTCTCATCTCAAGCTTAATCAACGGTGTTTAAAGATGCACCTAAAAACAGAGTCCCTTGTTACTTCCTCCAATCAAAAGCATCCACGTCATATATCTTATAAAGATTAAAAAATAAAATTGCTTCCAAGATTAATCGTTATTTTAATTATTTTATTCAAACCTTTGGAATTTTTAGAAATTCTGCGTAATTACGTGAGATTTTAACGCAACAATAATAAAAAAAAAAAAAAAAAACTGATAAACTGATTAAAAGAGACCAAATGCCTAACAAGAAGAAGATTGGTTCAGTGGCAAAGCATAAAACCCCCAAAACCAAAAGGTTTGAAAAAAGGCTTGCACTAATCTGAGTCCAGAATTAGATGGGCTCAAAGATATTCTGGTCCAAAGTCCCATAACTTCTACAAAATAAAGTAAAACGTATTCTTGGTCCCAAAGTCCAGAATTAGATGGGCTCAAAGATATTCTGGCCCAAAGTCCCATAACTAGCACAAAATAAAGTTTGTCCCCAAAAGTCACATCATGTCCAATATATATGATATGGTCGTAAAACAACACATTACGATTTAATCCGCTGTAAAAGATAATAATGCGAACGGAAGAAGATGATGCAGAAGCAATTCGTAAAATAAGAATTTAGCAACATGGAGCAAACGCAGCCGCATGGGCGTTAAGGCATCGAGCGGATATCATTAATAGATGGAAAATGGGACCCACAATATCGTAATGTTGTGATGTGTTACACTAAATATTCAGTTGATAGTCACATGCGCTCGCTGACTATAACAATAACCTCTCTTCTCTATAGTCATAGTATTTGCACATGGCCTCTGATTTTCTTGCCCTTGCGTGTTTTATTAAATCCCCTTTATTATTGGAACCAGCCAAAGCCAGAAATTGCCAACACCTCACCTCACTCGCTCCATTATTACAGTTGCATCTGCCGCAATTCCCGTTAAGGAATATCAAAATGTGGAGACAAACCTGAGATCCTATACAATTCTTATACGATGTTTGTTAAATTTTACAATTTAGAAAAAGAATCTGATTTTCAAACTATTTGCTCTGTTACCGACTTCGAACTATTTGCTCTGTCTGAACAATTACAAAATAAATTTAACATTTTACCCCAAAAAAAACAATTACAAAATAATACAGTAACTACTATAATTCGTCTCAGTTTTGATATTACTATACTAATTTAACAATGGAAAACCTAAATATCTATAGTTGGGGAGTGATGAAAACTGAAATAGGCACAAGTGCCGATACGAGATTAGAGAGCATGAATCAAGGAGAAAGTCGGTTTCAGCTCAGCAAGACAGACAGACAAAATACTTCAATGGGGTCCCATTTCAACTTCCTCTTTCTACGTGATTTCCTCTCTCTCTCTCTCTCACTCGCTTTAAATCCTGTTCTTCCCACTTTTCCTGTATAAAGTCGTAGCATCTCGAGATCGTCTTCCTCTCACAATCTCAATCTCTCTCTCTCTCTCTCCCGAAGCTCCTCACTCACTCTTCTCTGAGTAAGGAAAAAAAAGAAGAGCAAAATGGCAGTGCCTAAAGCCGTTGTTCTACCTCTCTTGCTAATCATCTGCGGTGCTGCTCTTGGAGCTCCATCTTACGAAGGTAAATCTCTCTCCCTCTCTGGATTTGCTTTTGAAAAGTCTTGATTTGGGAAGATGGGTCTTCTCTGCTTAGGGTATCTGAAGCAAGATTTGATCTTGTTTAAAAGAAATACTCCATATGTGTCTCTAGATCTAAGATTTACTTGTACCAATTTATGCAGGGTACCTTCGTAATGGAAACTTCGAGGTGTCCCCAAAGAAAACCGACATGAACAAAACAGTTCTAATCGGCAAAACCGCCTTGCCCGAATGGGAAACCACCGGTTTCGTCGAGTACATCGCCGGCGGTCCTCAACCGGGAGGCATGTATTTTCCGGTGGCTCATGGGGTCCACGCCGTGAGGCTCGGAAACGAAGCCACGATCTCTCAGAGGTTGAAAGTCAAGCCAGGCTCTCTCTACGCACTCACGTTCGGTGCGTCCAGAACCTGCGCACAGGAAGAGGTTCTCCGAGTCTCTGTGCCTCCTCAGTCCGGTGACTTGCCGCTTCAGACACTTTACAACAGCTTCGGAGGTGACGTGTATGCTTGGGCTTTCGTTCCCAAGACTTCTGAAGTCACTGTGACTTTCCATAACCCAGGGGTTCAAGAAGATCCTGCTTGTGGTCCGTTGTTGGACGCTGTCGCCATCAAAGAGCTGCTTCCTCCAGTGTACTCCAAAGGTAAGCTTTGGTTTGGTATAGTTTTAGTTTCATTTTTCGGTTTGCAGAAACTGAAGTCAGTTTAAAACTTTAAACCATTCCAAAAAATCAGTTTTGGTTGAGATTCGGTTTTGGTTGTATTTGTTTTCATTTATCGGTTTATTTGGGACAAAAAAAAATGCAGGGAACTTGGTGAAGAACGGAGGGTTCGAAGAAGGTCCTCACCGTCTAGTGAATTCGACACAAGGAGTGCTTCTCCCACCTAAGCAAGAAGATCTCACATCGCCTTTACCAGGATGGATCATAGAGTCACTCAAGGCAGCGAAATTCATAGACTCCAAGTACTTCAATGTCCCCTCTGGAAAAGCCGCGATCGAGCTCGTTGCAGGCAAAGAAAGTGCCATTGCACAGGTCATTAGAACTACTCCAGGTCAAACCTACAGCCTCTCCTTTGTCGTTGGAGATGCTAAAAACGACTGCCATGGATCCATGATGGTTGAAGCTTTTGCAGCCGGAGATACGCTGAAAGTGCCACACAGTTCCGTTGGCGGTGGACACTTTAAGACCGCGAGCTTCAAGTTCAAGGCGGTCGAGGCAAGAACTAGAATTACTTTCTTCAGTGGCTTTTACCATACCAAGAAAGCTGATATCGGATCTCTCTGTGGGCCTATCATTGATGAGGTTGTGGTTACTCATGTTCGTTAGATCGATTTTTAAGCGTTATGACCACTGAATCTTGTCTTGTTACACTCTCGGCGTTAGACTGCTCCTGGACTTGGTTCTTTGCTTCCTATGTCTTGCTCCTTTTGGACTTAAAAGTTCATTAGTGATATAATATATATTGTGGTATGAGAAGTTTTATGTTAAATGAAGAGTAGTAATAAACCAAGAATTTAAAAGCTGGAGCAAAATTTGAAATCGTCCCCATGAAAGTGTAAAGATTGAAGTAGTTGAAAAACTTTAGAAAGCACTTCTAAAAGTGAAGCTGATAAAATGATATTAAAATTGACAAAGATCAGTTTTTGAAATTGGAACCTTATTCATGGGAAACCATTAAAAAGGACAGTGGAATATCTTTGTTGTTTGAAGAAGATTTAAAACTTAGAATTGGTTTGACTGAATCTTAAATTTAACATTGTTCATAATTTTGTTTAATTTTCGTATATGGTTAATACTAGGGTTAATAAAGTATATAACTAAGTTCTGGGTCTTAATTAAAGAACTAACAAATCACACTGCGCACTCTGTAATTGAGAAGTAAACGTTTGGTCCAATTATTTTTATCTGAAAATGGTAAGATAGATAAACGGTCTTTCGAACAAAATGTGAAAACACGAGAAATAGAGAAACCAAGAAAACGAAAAAAGATACATCTCATTATATTTAGGTTATAACTAAGTCCTAGGAAGATGAAGGAGATCGTCCACGCAAGAATTTCCACGGTCCAGTTCCTGTCGCTATCCTGCATATTTTTTTTTAGGAACACGAGTCAATAAATACTTCTGTCTTCTATAATGGGCTGGATACAAATTATTGAAGGCCCAATTGAATTACCTGGCAATTCCAGTAATAGCTCGGAGACCCATATAGATGGTAAGAGCTATCCATAATCCTATAAAACCACTGGACTTTGCCATGTATATGATTGCTGCAATGCTTATGGCCGCAACTCCTACCTGATTTATCATAATTAATTAGGTGGAAAAAAAAAGAGAGTCAAATTCTAAGAAAAATATTAACGAAACAAAGAATTAATCATTTGAAAGCATATAACAAAATATATGAATAATTAAGTAAAATGGTGCGTACCATGGAGTATGCAGTGTAAGCAAAATCAGATGCTCCAAAATTGACTCCGTCCAATACAAAAGCGAGTGAGTTTATTGGCTGTGTTGCTGCTACAAACTGATGTCTCACACATAAATATATAACCTCTTATTAGTCATTACTACTAGGGTTAATCCTTGTTCTTTTTTTTAATTTTAATTAATACTTCTTCAACTAAAATATTATATCACTGTCGATCTATTTCTATAGTATTTATTATAATGGTTTAATGGTATTATTATTAGTACCGGTATTCCAATGGCTATGAGGTGAATAACGGTAGGGTCCTTGGTGAATATTCCGGCACCAAAGTATAGACCAAGTCCAACGAAAACGGACAGTCCAAGTCCTAACATAAAACCCATCTGCATTTCAAATTCGTCTGGTTTAGTTGCAAAACTAATAAATTGTTGATATTTGACCCAAAAAAGAAGAAGAACAATTATTATATATATATATATATCCTAGGTATAGGGATTGGTATCGTTCAATAATATATATACGTATAAGAAGAAGATCGACACATAACCTGTAGAACACGGGATGTAGCAGCAGTCACTTTGTTGTAGTCCTTCTCGGCAAAAGAACAAGCCAGAATCGCCTGCAAAAGATTTTAGATTAAATGATGATTTCCAAACACAGATATTAATCAAACCATATTATATACACACATGATTAAACAAGGGTATAATTACTATACCTGACCAGCAACGGCAAGACCATCGGCGAGGAGAGAAGAAGTTAACCAGACTTGTAAACAGATCTGAAAAGCAGCCATTGGTGTTGTTCCCAGACGAGCCGCCATTGCTGCTGCTAAGGTCTGACAAAACGTCACAGCTATGGTCCTCGCCAGCAATAGTGACCCTTTTATATATTATTACTTGTTAGACATCCACATTTCTGTATGTTTTTTTTTCAAATACTTATTATGTAAATATATATATATATATATATATATATATTATTCACTATTCCAAAATCAAAACTTAAACCATATATGTTAACCTACAAACTTGAATAATTTTTGTTTCTTTCCAAAAAATATACTTGTAAAACTTGAAAAATAATCATATTTTCATTATACTTAAAATTTTTTTTTTTTTTAGTAATAAACTTTACTTTCATCATTGCATGAGAAAACAACTTTAGTAAAAAAATGTCCCTACCATTTCTAAGGAACTTTCCGAACTGCAAATCTCCGAAGTTTGGTGGCATCAAATTTACTTTCTTCGCTAGGCGGATGAACAGGATTAGAGTCATGGAGTACCTTCACACAAAGAAACACATTAGTTTTAATTTTTAGTTTTTTTTTAATCCTATAATCGAAAATCTTGAATAGTTCCCGCAAAAACACAAAAAATGCGTCTTAGGTTAACTAGCTTCAATTTCGCATTTGCATGTGTGAAAAAAGTTGAGAGCTTTCTCTTACTGAGAAATGACATGGGCAATGGCGGCACCGCTGACGCCAAGACGAAGCACAAAGATGAAAATGGGGTCGAGAATAATATTGATGATATCCGCTACGACTGTTTCATGCATCAAGATGATATGTATTAGATTAAAACTCATGATGTGCATGGTAATATATTAAATATAATAAGAAGGTTAATTAAAGATGAACCAAGACAGTAACTCACGTGTAGCATAGAGAGGAGTTGTGGTGTCCTTGAAGCCACGAAAGATGCCTTGCATTGAAAGCGATAGAAGCAACGCAGGAGCACCCAATGATCGTATGGTCAAGTACTTGTGCGCTGGTGACAACACTGCCGAATTCTGATCATCGAAAGTCAGCTCAAGTTAAGTCAAACTTTTTGTCCTAACCAACAATATGTATATGTGCATGTCTATATCTATATATATAATCTTATATATACCGGTTTCACTCCCATGACGCCTAGAAGCACCTTCGAACTGAAAATCAAGACAATAGCTTGTACAAGGCCCAAGATTAGCCCTATGATCATGGCCGTTGATGCTGATTTGATAGTCTTCTTTCCTGTTTTATTCGCTTTGTTTCCGCTGCTTGACTTTGTTACCGAAGCTAGTTTCACAACAACAACAACGAAAATTACATTTTTTCAAACACTGTTTAGTTTTTTGCGAAAGATTTTCTAGAAAAGTGTAAACTTTATCTGTTCTTAAAGAAAAGTGTAAACATAAACGCCAAACACAAACAGAAAGATAATCCGATTGCATTCGACGTTTACGCTTATAATTAATATATTTTTTTATATACAGGACTCTCTTTTTTTCATTTAAAAATACACACGCTGAACATGAAAGCAAAAACAAAAGCAAAAGTTTATTAGAAAAACGAGAAAAAAACATACGCAAACGATTATCAAAAGAGCGAAAGAAAGAAAAGCAAAAACAAGTGCAAAGTAACGCTAGTACACGATATAAACACTTATACAGTTAGAGATGGTATAATTTGGCCGTTTCAGGATTTTACCTGGCGTTTGCTGCGTCTGGCTAGTGTTGTTACTCGTGGCTGACGCAATACCTTTTTCCAAGGAATCTTGAACAAGTAAAGTATCTGCATGATTGGCTTTGTTTGCTTCTTCTTCTTTCATCTTCTCCATCGTGTCTTCCTCTGCGACAAATGAAGTTGTGACGCTAACAATTGGGAATATCGTAATTCTAGAAGCTTGGTTGAATATCGCAATGGATACTCCAACCGCTGCTAGCTCAACCGCTCCTAAACGCCCGATAAAAGCGGTGTCAATCAGAGACGCTATTGGATCAGAAGCTAAAGCCAAAGCCGCCGGAAACGCCATGCTTAGTATCTCTCGTCCAATAGCATCCATACTGAATACATGTCTGCAATTTTATATATAGATAAATGTTATGCATCACTTTTTTGTACTCATGTAGTATTATATTAACCAATTCATATGAACACACACTTACGTTAAATCTTTGAAGATAACAAGAAATGGGATCGGCCTGATCACGCTGGTCGGAACCGAAGTAAGATCACCAGTTTCCGTCATCTATCTTCTCCTTCGAAACTGTCCCTGTCTTAAGTTTGTCTTGTCTGAAAATATCGCAAGGTGTATTCGAAGAATCGGATCAGCAAAGGGAACGTTTATATTATAGTGACTATGTACAAATGTATGTGTATTTATAGACACGTAATGGGCATGCATATCTTTAGTATTTAATTTGAACAAAAGATGCTTGATTTCTTCTATTTTTTTTTTCCTGGAAAAAAAATGTTTTCCTTCCCTAACTCTTTCATGCTCTTTTATTTCCGTCCAAATTAAAGACACCAATAATATGATTTGTTTTCTTTTTTTATTGAAGTGAAAATAGGTACAAATAAACATCGTATTTAAATACTTCCATTATAACATTTGGCATACCCTTCTTAACTAAATATTCTAAGATTTTTTTAAATAAATAGAGAAATATGCACTCATGAACTATAACAAAAGTATATAATGATAATGAACCTGAGTGTGAAAGGCAGGATATATCTTTTTTTTTTCATTGAAATTTTTCTTACTTGTATTCATTATAGTGGGAAAGAGTTTCAATTTCTTCTTAGATCCTCATTTAATTTTTGATATCTTCCACTTAAAAAGTGATTCAAATTTCATAATTGAAATTCACTAGTTGCCAAAAATGTTACTTTATCATTTAATAATTTGAAAGCTTCTTTAATTTTCGACAGTTAGAAAAACTTATAAGTATATTTGTATTTGTTAAATCCAATTTTAATATTAGTTAAAGGAAGGCGATAGCTGAAAAAAAATAACATAAAAGATGGCAACACAGACCAACACAGGTGATGATTTGTATTTTGTATATAGTGCGTGTCGTGTATGTAATTGTTCCGTAAGATAAGGCCTTCTTTCCTAAAGCATCCACGTCTATTTCATTACCAATAATAACACTTCCCCTATTCATATATATATATTTTTTTTGACAACACCTATTCATATTTTTTAGAATTGACACATATCATAATATAGTTAATTATGATTTCGACCAAAAAAAATATAGTTAATTATGATCATTTTTATTTAATATTATACATGAAGTAATTTTAGTTTCATTAGATCGTACTATATATGTCAATAATTAACTATTTTGCAATCTATGTTAATTTAAGAAAAATAAATAAAATAAGTTGTGTCTAATTATATTGAGTTTTATACATTGTTTAGAACCCATTGACAATGAAGACGAAAAATATATTACAGTCTAACATCCGGCATAGTGTTCATATGATTTACTGAATGTTGCGAATACGTCAACTACACTCTAACCATTACGTTTCTTCAAGTTCTATGTTTTGGAATCTCTCAAACACATTTTAAGAAATTATTTGCAATTATTATCAAATATAACTTTACTCTTTTAATTTGTTAATATTGTCAAGATTTGTAGAGTTGTAGTGAGTTTAATTGGTATGGGTAAAATTAGCCAACTATTTTTTTAACCAGACGTATTAACTTAAACAGTAGCACATATTTTAAAGCCTTTCTCACCATCATAACTTCATAACCATACAATAGACACATGATGAAACTGTCATTATATATGTTGAGATATATATATACAGTTAAGAAAAAATATATGCTACTCAAAGAAGCAATCATAGAACTATATATCATGGAGGAAAATATATTTACCTGTACGACGTAGTCAACGCTTGTATAAGTAATCACGTGAACTCGAGATGAGGAGTGAGTGAGTGAGTATTTGGGAGAGTTTAAAGGGGATAATTAATAGGCGTGTGCCAGTAGTAGTACTTGGCTCCAATTTAATAAGTGTGTGTCAACACTTGGCTCCAATTTATACACAAATTCCATTCACATCCCTCTCTCTCATTTTTGTCCATACGTTCTCCAAACTTTTCTTTTTGAGTATAAAGTAACCCACATCCTACTTTATTTACTTTATGTATATATATTATTTTTGTTTTTGTTAAAAGTTGGGTAAATTCTCAATTATCGACTTGTAAATATATTCTACTAATTATTTACAGCTTACAACACACTCAAATGTTCTCAATTTTTCCTACAAGATGCGTACAACTTCATCATATAAGGGTTTTAAGTTTTATGCATGCAAATTTTCGGAACTGCAAATATATGCTACGTAGCTACACCGTCCTGACTACAACGATACGGTACAGTATTAGTCATCGATCGAGACCTAACCAAATTTTGCGCACGCGGCACGTACACTACACAATTAACTACTCCATATATAAGCTTGTCCCCATGACCATTAAGACAAAGATAACTCGACAATCATATAGGAAGTAACACCAAACCTAATTAATCGAAACGCATAGGAACTTTCTTGATACGATTCCGACTAATTTATTAGTCGGTCACTGTTAATTGGTAAACTAAATTAATCGATCGATTAGTCATGACTTGGTTTATTGATTAGTCGGTTTGATCATCTACTAAGCGATGAAATAAATTAATTAAGAATTTGTAAATTCTGGCGAGACTAACGGTTAAGAGAATTGGAGTATGAAATGAAGTATTCGATTTGCGTATGAAACCAAAATCATATAGTGAACAGAAAACGTATGAGAGACGTGACGTAGTCGCTGAAGTCACAATCAACGTAACAATCACAATCAATGAAACAGTTTATACAACAAAAGTGGGCTACGTAGGATTCCCAACTAAGATGCAACAATGATCAATTAGTTTAACATTCATTTGTCTTTACTTTCGCATTTTTTTTATTACTTAATACAGTTATATACATATCTTGATTGTCATGCGCCTTCACCTTACCTAATATTTTTTTTCCATCACGATACCCATCGAACTACATTTGATACCTCACGTTTCTTATCATCTACTTTTATAAGCTATCCTATGTTTAATTAATTATTTAACTATCTGAATATGCGTTGATTGAATGATTCATTTCTCAAACTATTGGCGGATGATAAGCAAAAATGATTCGTGGATGAAATTGTTAGATTTTTTCTTTCTTTCTGATCTTCTTTTTTGAACATTTAGTTATGTAGTGCGCACTCTAATTTCAAAAGACACCCTTAATACTTTATATAAAGAGTACATGAAAAAAGTACATATGTACCATGACTTAAAATATTTCAAGAAAAACACTCGACGCCTCTCGGAAATTCTTTAATTACAAAGACATTAACACTCCAGAATGACACCATTATGTCTAGTCGCACATCGGGCACGAGCACCTATTTTTATATTGTCTGGTTGCTTTGTTATAATTAGTATTATAACAAATATCAATTTTGACATAGACAATCCGCAGTTTACATTCTATGGGTACGAAAAGACGAGAGTAGCATATTGTATATATACAAACTCTGTAATAGTCGCATATCCTTCAAATAAATCAATAAAAATTAACCATTGGCTGTATTTGGTGGATTTGGAGAGCGAGCCTATGGGCTATGTATACAAACTCTGTAATAGTCGCATATCCTACGTAGAAGGTGGGAAGACCGTTGTTCACGTATGACCCCAAGTGAGACTATCGTTTGTAGATGAATATTGATCATTAGCTGGGAACTATGAAACTATACAAACAAAAATGTGTCCGACCATTCCAAAGAGTGGTAAGCAAGATCGAAAGTAAACCTACGAACGTTTCATTACCTGAGTGATATAAGTCAAACCCTTTAAAGAGGTTGTTTTGAATCAAAACAAATGTAATCAAAGTTAAATATCTTTTGTGTAGCATAATAAATAAATGAAAAAATACATTTGATGTAACAAAAATATGAGAACTATTGACAAATGACAAATCACTTTTCCTTTCCAACATAGACATTGCCATATATGAAAGGTTTGATAGTTTAGAAAGAAAAATGATGTAAATGAGAAGCAAGTTTTTCTCATTTATTTTTCCTGAACAAAAGCAAAAGAAAAATTAATTACTATTTTTCCATACATAAACAAAAGGATGGATGGAATTAATATGAAATTAAAAGAAAAAATGGGATATAATCTATTAATCTGCATACATTTCAAGTGGTTTACTATATATTTTGTAAATATGGTTTTGGTTTTGTATGCAGATCACAAGTTGATAAGATGTGAGATTTGTAATTCATCACAAAACAATTGAATAAACAAAATTACATCGGAAGTTCATCATGGCATCTGAGTTGCATGGTTCTAATACTTGCAAATGCCTTTAAACAGAATAATTTCTGATTAAATTAAGATACCAATCTGCATTTTTCTCTTACTAATGTAACTTGGTTGTGTCCCTCGTTGTAAGAAAGAAGCAATAAGCACTCGACATTGTGATGGTACTTAGGGTTTATAATATTCCAAACAACTCGAAAGTCGGAAATTAGAGTCATCCGTAATATTAGGGGCAATCCAGCTTTCGACTGAAGCATATCCTCCATCTCTCTTCCTGCCCCATACATCGCCTGGTTCTTTGTTCCAATATATAGCCGAAATGTTGTTGACTCATGGCTTGACGCATATAGTTTAGTTCCCTAACCGAAGAAACAATCGATATACTTATAACGTAAGTTGATATTGAATTTATACATTATTTTAATACAAAAAATACTTACTTGTGTCTTTGCAAAGTTTAGTGGGCCAAAAAAGAATTTGATAGATGGAGGATGAAGATGAAGGCCAAATACATTAGACTTGTTATCTACTATGAGCTTTGTAGAGCAATTGCAAGTGAGTAACATAGTCGACACTCCATGTGAATCCACGCCTTCTTCTAATAGAAACTGGTTTAATCTTCCAATCTGTGAGATTACATACACTATTAGGTAGAGTATACTATATACAAATAAAGCCATATAGTCACTAGCTTGGTCTGTTTTTGGCAATAGCTAAGGTGCATAATTAATTTATTACTCGAAGAGAAATGTTAGGATGAGGAGGCTGAGTGGCAATGTAGAAGACCAGAAATGCCACTCCAAAGCTAAACAAAAACCTCCACAATATTTGCAGAGCGATCCACCAACCCGAATCGGGGCTCCGAAATGGCATCAACCTCTTTGGATCATCCTCGTACACGCACTTGTTTTCCGAGTATCTAGGGAGTTCATCAACGCGGGCTAAGACCAATGGCGCTGAGTCAGATCGAGATGGGGACTGGAATTCGGATTCCGGGTCGTGGAAACCCGAAGAAGGGCTTTGGACAAAGTAGTTCGTGTAATGTTTCTCTCTTCTCTCCATTGTTAAGTTTATTTACTTGATGTTTTGTGAGTGTGTGATATGAGAACAATTATGTGATCGATGGTTCATATATAGTTCCGAGAGATACATATCATCATATGATTGATAATGACTATATTTTAACTGTTTGATAGATGTGTAGTAAATTAAGCATCAATTATGGCGTTTTAAATTATATGGTGGAGAAAACTATAATTACACAAGTCATGATTTGGGTTTGTTGTTTTTGTAATCCAATTTCCTTCATGCTTAAGTTTAAATAGGTGTGATAACTACTTCACCAATCATTCTACCTAGGAAACTATATATATATATATATATATATTCAGATTTCTGTAGTACTTTACATTATATGTAATTATATTATTTTCTTAATTTTATCGTACTAAATTTCTTTTGATAATTAGCTTGGCTTCAATTTTAATTTTTTTTTTCTTTTGGCACCCATTTCTTCATCGGATCCGTTTGATTTTTGTTGTTGTTGCTGTTTCTCTATTTTAAGCTCCGGCGAAAGTGAAAAAAGTAAATGAATTTAGACGCTACTGCTAAGTGCTATCGTAACGATGGCCAAAAGAACAGGGCTTAATAACATTTGAAAACATCAGAAGTAAAAGCAGACAAAACATTATTATTAGTCGACAGCAAATCCAAAAAGAAATATCACAGCAAAACCGCAAAGAAATAACTTGATCAATTTTTCATTTTTTTTTTTTTTTGGTATTCAACAAATCATTCAGAAATCTCTTGGGGCAGGCCGCAGGGGTGGGCCGAACAAACAAACCGAATCAAATTTAATATTAAGCCGAACGTTATGAATTGTTATACCAACCAAACTAAACCGAACCAAATCTGTTGCAGCCGTCAAAACCGATAAATTGTGTAGTTCTTTTAATCCAACACCATCCGAAGGAATCTAAACCGGAGTCGAATGATAATTCGAACAAAACCAAACCGAACTAAGAAAAGAATAGTCAAGTTGTAGATGTGTAATGTTTATTTTGGGCTTGGAGCCTCTATGGGCCAATAAACTTATTTTATACGAACCAAACACATTTATAGTTTTCTTCATTAATTATAGACATTATTATTAGGCAAACCACATTTTGTTATACACACAATAACACATTATACCTGTTCCTTTAAGTATACGTCTTGAGTTTTTCTTCGCAAAATAATATTTTAAATTTTCTCAATACCAATAAAGTCAATAGATATAGTAGGGAAATCTTAATTTAATTGAAAAAAAATTTAGTTAGTAGAGAAATGATAGATTTGGTATTGTAACTTGGATGAAGAAGATGAGAGTTTATGGCATTGTTTGCAATATCTCTCAAGCGATAGAATATTGTCGTAAATAACTCGAATTTTAGGTAGATAGTGAATGAAAGAGATAATGCTTTCTTATTACGAAACCGTGTTTTACACATCAAACTCGGATTTGTACACAAAAAAAAGAATTGAAAAGAAAGAGAAAGCTATACAAATAAACCAACTAATCACCTCATCGAGTGGGCCAGTATATAAGTATTTCCGCAGCAAATAAAATCTAAATGTACCTTTCTATTCACATTTCATGTACTAAAGGAACCATGCATGGTGTGACTAGTTCCTCCTCCTACAGATATAAACTATGTATATGCATACACCTCTCGCTTCCATTAACAATATAATTGTGAATAATAGACATATGATGGGAAAATAGAGGGAGAGAAGAGAATAGACCAAAGTTTATGGAAAGAAGACTTTTTGCAAAAAGAAAAAAAAATGAGACTCTCGTCGAATAGAGAGGACCAACTTCAACTTCGAGCTCCGTAGTGGGAGGAAGTATCTGCTCTCTGATAACCGGTTCGTGAAGTTTATTATTGAAAAAGAATTGTATATAGAAGAATGAATAAGGACGAATGAGTAAAAAGAAGAGAGAAAGAATATTTGTCAATCAATTTGGAAATCAAGGAAGGGGAAAGAAGAGTTGTTATCGATGAGACCATCCAAATCCCAATCTCCGATTTTAGGGTTTTCTATTTCCCACGAACCATTCTCCATCCCCAACATGTTCCCTACCTTGAAGCTTTCTGAATGACAAAGACTTTTGCTATTGAGGCAAGGATCAAGGACTTCTAAGTTTAGGTTGTTGCTTGTAGTACAAGCAATAACATTGGTATTCTCTGACGAGGGAAGAAACCACTCACCTTCTACTGATACCCTCTTGCTAATTGGATCAAGAACTGGGTTTCCATAATCTCCCAACCCATTAACGTTGAACAAGTTCTCTGTATTTCCCATTTGTTGATAGCGGCTATGATCCGGTACTGATATTAATGGATCAACAAGCTGGTTTAAGCCGACGCCACTAACCATGGGTGAAAAATTGAATGAACAAGGGTCCATACGCATGGTGTTCCCCACTAACATCATGTCATCATGATGATGATGATAGCCATCCATCATTGGATTTGACTTGCCGCCTCCCATCTCCACATGGTTATCTCTTGGGTCGACCAAAGAATTGCTATTACTATTGTTAGGTGATGATCCTGAAGAAGTATTATTGTTGTTCTTAAGCCTCTTCTTCAGTGTCGAGTTCCAAAAGTTTTTGATCTCGTTGTCTGTCCTTCCTGGAAGCCGAGTAGCTATTTGAGACCACCTGATAAAATGATAAAAATAGTTATGGACAAATAGAAGACTCTTATTCTTAAGGCTCGGTTGTTTCAATGCGTTTACATGTGAAATTTTTTTACCTGTTACCGAGAATGGAGTGCAAATGGAAGATGAGATCTTCTTCTTGAGGAGAGAAGGAACCGCGTTTAAGATCAGGCCTCAAGTAATTGATCCAACGAAGGCGACAGCTTTTGCCACAGCGTAAGAGACCAGCATTCCTAGCAATGTCACTCCAGCATCCTTGTCCATTGGTCAGCATATACCTTATGAGCTTCTCGTCTTCATCAGGCGACCAAAGTCCTTTTCGTAGCTTCGGTTTGTTGTTATTACCACCACATGCATGATTTGGCTTGTTCTTCTCTCTGATCGTAGTAATGTCCGGATTCCTCATCATCATTTGGACTGGTGGAGCCTTTCTTAACAAGACTACACAGAGAGAAAGAGAAAGAGAGAGATTTAGAATTTGGAGGGATTGTAAGAAGGAAGTAAAGAAGGATATGGAGAGGATGATTTGATTTGTGGGGATTGCTTTGGAATGATATGAATATGTGTAATGGATATGAAAGAGAGAGAGAGAGAGAAAAGTGTTTGTTGGGATTGATGGGTAGAGTAGAGAGAGTCTCTAATAGAGAGAGACAGAGAAGAAATGGGGATGTGAAGAAGAAGCAAGAGGTGGGTCTTTTTGTTATAAATTAATAATAAAAAAAATATTAAATATGTCTTCGTTAAAAACATGATGATAGACTTGTGAGTGAAGAAAAATGCATCGAAAAAGACTGGTTAGAGTCAAAGACAAGAAGAAGACCAACCTCTCTCTCACCCCCACACCACACACGTGTGCTTCAAGTATCATACTATATACTAATATATACGTGAGTTTTAACAGATTTTTAATATTAATTTTCTTTTCTTATTTTCACTATCTAAAAATTAATACTGTATATGCCGACAAAAAAGAAGAAGAAGTAATGTTGTATTTCTCTGTAGGCAGGCTTATTTTGAAGCAACTTCTATTCTACGACACAATCAACCGAATCTAATAAATAAAGAACATTAGAAGCAATTAAAGATCCTTCGACAAACATATGTAACGTAATAGAATATTATCATAGGATTGATGAAACAACTAAAAAGGAAGAAAAACCCAAAAAAGAAAGCAAAGCCTAACACTTCTAAAACATGTTTTATTTTCAGAGTTTAACATTTTCATAGATTTTGAAACTGTTGCAATCTCGATATTTGAAATAAGAGACAGGTTAAATAATAAAACTATTTGTGCCTATATGTAACAATAAAAGACAAATCTATAACGAAAGAATGATGATTATTAATTGGTGTATCGTGTTTCCAAGTTTTTATGATTCAACTCATACTGAATTGCAACAATTCATTGTAGTGTTTATAGAAGAGGTATCGCACACACCATGACACCACCAAAAGCTACTACATTCCATTAATTGGTCTAATATAAATGTTTTAAGTCAAAGGTTGTCAACAGTCCGTCGTAGTCTAGCTGGTTAGGATACTCGGCTCTCACCCGAGAGACCCGGGTTCGAGTCCCGGCGACGGAGATTTTTTGGTTTTCCAATTTTATTCTTTAGTTTTTATTGGTTTTTTGGTAATTTAATTAGTCATATTTTAGCAGCTACTACGACGGTTAAAAAAATATGACTAATTGAATATCCCCATGGTTAGAGTCAAACATACTTTGGGTCTATAACTCTCGTTGGGCTAATTGAATATCATGTATATATATCCCCATGGTTTTTGCGCCATTAGTCTCTTTTTCACTTGAATCGAGACTCAAACATACTTTGGGTCTATAACTCTCGTTGGGCTCACACTTCCTATTGGGCTTTCTTGAATGGTATATACACCATGCTGTAGGTCATACGTGCTACTGAAGATGTAGCAGCTTTTGTAGAGAGTTTGACAAAATACTGATTTACTCAAAGCAGGTAAATAATAATATCTATGCTTTTCAAGAATTTAGCCTCTATGCTCCAGAGATTATATATTATTCGATGGGCTTTTGACGTTTTGTTCTATAGAGCTCTCATAAAATAACAATCGTTGATCAGAACATAGAAAAAGAACAATTGCAAGTGGTTTTCTATGAGACAAAGACCATTAGAAAACTTATGCTCCTCACGTTCCCCCCACGAACGTTTTCATTGATTTGCCCTATAAAAGCGACGTTGGCGTTACAAAAAGAAGCCAAACCCAAATTCAGGAATTGGTTTGAGAGGTCAACATGGCTTCCTACGATCAATACACAGCGATGGCTGTTTTCGCCACAATGACCTTCTCCTCTGCCTTCACCGCCTCCGCACAGTACGATTCAGAGTCACAGACAGGTGAAGCCTCCTGTTTTCCGGGAATGTCTATATTCATGATCATCTCTTCTCTCATCCTTTCTGGATTTGCTATTCTCAGATGGTAGACCAAATGCCACTTTTCTTTGATGTTCCTCTGTTTTTTACTCCTCTTGTTCACAAATCTCAATATATACCAATGAAGACATCTCTCTGTTCTCTTCTCATACCTCTTTTTTTTCCCTCTGTAACATTAAGATGTTCTTAGAGGAACACAAGATTTTAACATCTCAAAAAACTTTCACATTATTATTTACATTATTTGTTGGGTATAAGTGTAACCAAGCGCAACGCATTGTTCAAACAATTTTATCTTTTACATAACTGTATAGTAGACCCCTCCCTATCTAAACATTATTGTACATTGAGTTTCTTCTATGTCCTGATATCTTTTGAACTATGATCCTCCCTGAGCATGTCTCCATCTCTAAATTCACAAGATATTAGCTTGAATCAGCCAACCAGGAAGATTCTAAGTAAGATAATCTGAAAGATAAAGAAAACAAAAAAAGGGAAGAAACTGCTTTCACCTAATATCAAAGGATCACATGAGTTTGGAAAGAAAATAAGTTGTCATCAGCATCTGTGTTCTGGAAAGAAATTTAGTCATCACTCATCAACACATGGAACTCTAGAAAATTCCTGATGGGATAGGAACTTAACTTACATTTTATTTCTCTGGGAAAGAATATTCAAATCTGCAGGCCACCAAGGAGCTCTGATAGCCTGAAAGTATTATCAACACATTAATTGATGTATCAAGTTAAATCAGATGTTGGAATAAGAGGGAAAGGAGGAAGCAAGAAACGTTACCTGATAGTGTCTGCTACTAGAGTTTCTCCCTCTTGAGAACCAAGATGCCGTAGAACAACTTCTTCCAAGTGGCCATCAGAATATGCATGCTATATAGTAAGACCAGAAAACGATTTTGACTACAAATCATTCGTCTGATGGTTTTGGCAGGCGATATAGAATAGCATAATTTTATTAATACCTTGTAGAAACAACTTCCTCCAAATGGGCAGTTCCCGTTTCCAAAGTTGAAGTGCTTACAGTCGATGGACCTGCAAGATTGGAACAGAAGGCTCAACAATGTAGCTACTAAGCATACCAAATGGGCAAAAGTTTAGGCAGTTAACCTTAGTTTTGCCTTGTATATGTCGATAATGTCCTTTTTCTCTTCAGGAGTAGAGTACCAGACAACGCTGGGGACAACAAAATAAGAGAGTTTGCGACATATAGGACACGCTCTCAAGGTGCTGTTCACATCCATTCCCGAGACAGGAGCACTGCTGCGCCAGTTACGGATGCATTGTATGCAGAAAGGATGATGGCACTCCGTCAGCAGCCCAAACTTCCTTTCCCCTGGAGTGGCTTTTGACAAGACGCGATCCAAACACACGCTACACTCGATCTCTTGGCTTCTCTTCAAGGCCTCCATGCGCTTTTGCTTCTTCTCGCATTCCTTTGTGTGCTCTTCTCTTTCTTCGGGTCTGAAAGGATGCAAACACTTCTTGCCGCAGGTGGTGCAGACGTCACCGTGCATGTGCGGGCACTGGTTCCCTCGTGGGCATTCACCAGCTGCAGCAAACGAGCAGATTGGGTATTCTCTTGGGTGGACGTAGTAAAGGTTGTGGGATTCGTCGTCACCGTCGTTATTGTCCCTTGCAAAGGCATTTGCTTTTTCGTGCGGAGACTGTGGCTGAGAATCCGAGCAAAGAGGTGGTCGAGGAACATTGGAGGAAGGTAAAGATTGGGTCCTGACATGTTCATATCTACATCTACTTCCGTACAAACATATTCCTTTCTGATAGAATGTGCAGACCTGATCAATTGCATTACCAAGTTTGATTCAGAGAACCCTACATGAATTATACAAGAAGGAAAGATTCTTGAGAAAGAGATTACATTACATTATTCGCGGGATCCTTAGAGTCGTGAGAATATTCACAATTTTCCCCTTTCAAGCACGAGCCATGGACAAAGAACTTGCAGAGTATCCTATAAGAACAAAATCAACAATTTAGCCTCCGAGAACCAACAAAGAAACACAATCAAAAAGAGTCAATCTTGAGATTCAAGAAGACGAAATCGAAGAGGCAGAGTTTGATCAATCGAGAAGTTGGATTACACCTGTCGGACATCTGGGGATTGTGCGAGGAAAAGGGGTTGAAACAAAGGTGAGGGAAAGAGAAGAGAATCCACAAGGAAAGGCGGAAGCTTTTTATGTGGGGAATTGAATTTTTCTGAGGAATTTTCTACGGTTTTCAATTTTTGAGGTTTTTAGATAGAGCGCGCTTCACCACCTCCACCAGCTCTCCTCTTCATTTTCGTCTTCTCTTTTTTATTTACTATTCTATCCTCTTCATTATTATTTGGAAAAACTCGAATAAAAATGACCCAAACAGAAATCATAATGATGGTAACCAAATTTGGGTTTCGTTAGTATACAAACAAAATATAGATCTCGTAAGAAAACTAATAATTGAAAAGTAGTAAAATGGTAAAAGCAAACCACAATCATGTTGATAATAGATTCAAATACAGTAGTGTTACACGAAAGCTTCAGCTACTATATACTATAATACAAACAACACAGAAGACAAGACCGTCTCTCTTGCCTTTTACTGTACACGATATTACACGCAACAAATCAAGCAAACATTCTCTCTCACACACACACCAAACCCTCCGAATCGAAATTCACAAGCTCGTGGAACTTAATACTTAAACAGTGTTTTGACCCAATACCGTATCTCAGTTTTCACACAAACTCGCACCTCACGAGAAGCTTGACGGATTTGTACTTGTCCCCTTTGCGGCTATGCAGAGGATATGCTCTTATTCCTTCCTGCAGCTCCCAAACCGGCAAGCATGTCTGTCCTCCAAAATCATCTTTCTCAGACATGTCATACTCATGCACTTCAAGTCTCAGGAGTGCCAGCTCTGGAACGGTTAACGGGAACTCAAACACTTCATCCCATGCTGGTATCCAATTATCCTCCAACGTCTTCGTCTTCTTCATTACTGTATCCGCGGGAACTCCAGCTATCCCAACCTGAAATTTCGTATGAGACGAGGAACGTTTCTACTGCAATGCATTTTGTGTGGGGGCTTAAGGGAATTGGAATTTACCCTCGTATAGAAGTCAGGCGGTGAGTATTGATCGAAGTGGGTGTGGCGGAAATCAAAGTACCATCCTTCTCCCATGTATATAGTAACCTAGAGATATATATATAACAAAGAGTTCACTGAGTTTTATAGAACTTGCAATGGAAAAGTCCAAACAGAGAATCAGATATCCCACCCTCAGTGTTTTTTTTACAGGCAGAGTAGCTTTTGGGTCAAAGATGTCACTATCCGAGCCACCTTTCAGCAGAATATCGGGTTTCTTGATGTATCCACAACCGCCATTGGCTCTAAACATTCCTTGCATAAGCCACAATGATCTTCCATATCCCTGCACATGGGAAAATCGATACAGAATTAGCTGAGGAATAAGCTTGACGTCCATAAAAATGATTTTTTTCTACTACTCTGTCAAAAGAATTTGGTGATTACCTGCATATTAAAAGCCACCATTTGAGCACCGTGGCTCCAGCCGACCAACGGGTTGTAATTTGATGAAGTGACTCTAGTTCCTTTTGGGTAAATCCTCAGCAAATTTTGCTGAGTGAACCTGCACCACGCCATGATTAGCATGATTCACACTGAATTCAAAGACTGCAATTGTTACTCTGGAAAAAAAGTATTCAATTGATGAGATTACCTCACAATCTGTTTCGCATACTTTTCCGCTGCCTTTTCTAGTTGTTCTTCGCTCAAGCTAAGGCGTCTCACCTTGTCAGGGTCTACCTTCAAGCACTCAGTAATTCCGCCTTTTGGTTTCCCAGCGTGGATTGCAATCAAATGTTTATACTGTGGTGGTGCATTCTGCTTGGACTTGTCATCATCGTCTTCATCATCATCGTCATCATTGTCGCCTAAGTCATCCTGCAACAAGAGAGAGAGTTAACAGCTTTTGTATATGAACACACCAACGGGACTGAATTGAGAAGACTTTGACTCCACACATACCTTGTAACCACTTTTGTTCCTCTCAATAAAGCTCGGAACTTCTCTCCCCCAAACTTCTTCATCACCCAAGGATTTACCTTTCTGCACCGCCTCCTCATCTTTTCCTTCCTTGTACTCTTTCGGGGGTTTCGTTGAGATGATAATCCGCCTTTTCAATGAGTTTGGCGACGGAAACTCCTTCAAAGATTCTCCGACAGGAGGTGTAAACAAGATTTCCCCAAATATCGCGGTAACCATCTAGAAGACAGCAAGAACAGCGCATCTCTAAGGTTAATGTAATGATCTATTAAAACTGGGGAAAGAAAAAAATCTCAAAGAAATGCAAAAATGAGGATACCTCAGCAACTTTGGACTGAAGTTCTGGAGTAAGATGATCTTCAAGGGTCACAACAACAGGATAGTCAGATACATCAAAGGCATGTGCTTTGATAGCTCTTAGGCATTTGATTAACTCCACAGGCGCAGTGAGAGTCCTGCGAGAGAAGAATGGTTCAGTACACAAGTAAACGACAAGCACCTAATCTTGACTTTCATTCAATTAAATTACAGTAGAATATACCTTCCGTGAAGAACATCAATATCATTTTTGTTGGAGTTGGGCCATATATCCAATTCAATCACCCTGACACCTTTCTTCAACGCATCTATGATAGGCACTTCACTGCAGTCACTGCTCAGCTGATTACCGGTCAGGTAAGAGTTATGACCAGTGAATATGAAATAATGCGATATAGGAGCATCCATGTCTTGATGCACCTGAAAAAAATACCATACAATGAAATTCATTTAGAGACAAGTGGAGAATCAATCTACTGTAAATTATGCGATTTTAAAGCCAGGGTTCCCAAAAGAGGACGTAATTGCCACTTGCCTAAAAAGTACATAACTTCTGCAATTTTATTTTTTTCACAGTAGCTATCTATATAGCTATTCATCATATAAAGAAAAAGAATTAAATTGTTTTGAACTCTTGAGTCAGACCCAGTGAAACACCCAACACGATTATTGTTCCAAAAATCTCCCTTTTCCCCCAACACCATTTCCTCAGATAGCAGTGAAGTAAAACGAGTAATCTCAATCCAAAATCTTTGTCAATCAAATTTAGAAATAAGAAAAATCGAAAAAAGAGAATAATTACCTCATGTAGAGCAAGAGGAGGGTTATTATCACCGAAAAGGTACTTGAAGAAAGCATCAAGGTGGAGACCATTGCGGTGAAGAAGAGAAGAGGCGGCGTTGATAATTGACTGTGCATCCTCTCTGGTGGCTTTCTCTTGCTTCTGAACATCGATCAGAAACCTGTGGAGATGATCGACGGTCATAACCCCATTCTCCGAGTACTTTTCGAAAATGGTCTTGACTTCACGCGGTGCCTCCGATGCGGTATACCGAAACCTCCGGCGAAAGCAGAAACACACTTTGTACGTTTGCTTCGACATGAGGAAAGGAAGGACGGATCCTTGGGTGACGATGGGAGAAGAAGAAGACGATGAGGCAAGTCAGAATAATTCGTTTTGTTTTTAGGGTTTGCGTTGAACCAGAGTTATCTTCTTGTTGTGTATATTTAATGAAATGTACCCCATGTAATCATATCTTTCAACCTTCTCGAAGAGATCGAGCTTCAATCTCTCTCTCTCTCTCTCAAATGCGAATATCCCCAAAAAGGCAAACAATTATTCACACGACAACGAAGCTACGAAAACTATGGGCTTTATTGGGCCTTTGAATCAACAGAGCCCATAAAACGAGTTTCTAGGGTTCTGGTGTCATTTAAAGGAGCATATGAGCACATTTCTACAAAACCTCTCTTACTTTCTCCGCCGCTCCTTTCCTGAAATCTAAAACACAGTCTCGGAGAAGAGCAGGGCATACCTTCTGTGAAGCCAGCAGCATGAGGGCTAAGGTGAGTAATGAGTTTTATGTTGTGGATTTATATAGTTCTGAGAAATAGAAGTAGTGTGGGTTAGGATATTTATGGTGTCAATGTTTTTGGCTTGTATCAGTGGAAGAAGAAGCGTATGAGGAGGTTGAAGAGGAAGAGACGAAAGATGAGACAGCGATCTAAGTAGTTTCGAAACCTGCTTTGTCTTTCTTCCTTTTAAAACCAGCATTTGTGGGAGTTTTGTTGGTTTTTGTATTTGAATTTGAATGTTTTGTTGGACCAAATAGTTTCTATGTTTTCTATTAGAACTATGTTTATCACATGAAGGGATCCCCGTGGATTCTCGATTTATCAGTTATTTTCTACAATCTGCTTATTATTGGTATTCCATGGTGATCTTCCCGCTAGTGTCTTCGCAGGATTAGTTTTATATCATTTTGATATTTAGAACACGAGGGCGTAAGATTATTGGGACGCTTATTGATTATAGGAAAGTAAACAATGCTTATTAGATGTAGTTAGTGTATGCAAGTACTCTTCAATCTCAACACGTCTCTATCAAATTAGAAAATAATGTGGATTGAATTCTGTTTACCAAAAACCTAATTTGATGTAGGAGAAATAAAAGAACAATTCATGTTTGAGTTTCACGTGAAATTAGTTTCTTGATGGTCGGAATGTTATTGCCTCAGATACCTTTTAATTTTTGTATGTGGGTTTTTGTTCAAAACAGTTTTCATTAATCTTAACCATGTAGACTACAATGAAGCAGATAGTAGAAATCGACAGCATTAGAAACTAAGACAGCAAAAGCAACATAAAAATTAGTTTCCTTGTTCATCTACGTCATTCTGCTTGTAAGTATTGCAATGTGAAAACGAAGTTTCATAATAGGAAAAAGATATGTTGCTTGATTATATGATGCTAAACATGTCAGTAGAACACATCAGATCTGTGAAGGAGCAGTCATTCTTGATGATAATTTATTAAATGGAAATCAATGTATAATCGGAGAACACAGCAAGGTGCAATATATCGAAAAGAAATTAGGGGTGGACACAAAAACTATAACTGAAAAAATCAAACCATACTGAACCGAAAAAAGTGATATGGTTTAGTTATAGTTAAACCTAAAAATCTATTTGGTCATTATTTTTTTATAGTTTTGTTTATGTTTAGTTTAGTTAAAAACCTGTCAAGTTTTTTCAGTTTTTAAACTAAATTTTAAATAATTTATATTTTCCTAATTTCTTAATTTAGTTTAGGTACATATTTTATTATTAAGCTTAGTTATCTTTATAATTTACTAACTTAACTCATAAATTTAAAATATAATATTTATAAAAAATATCTACATATAAATAATAAAGTAAACTTTAATTTCTCAATAAAAAAATATGACTCCTTTTTCTTCACATTCAAGTCTTTTAGTTCTAGTTTCAAGATTATAGATATTAAATTTTAATCTAGATTTGTTTATTGTTATATAATTATTGATTATAAAATATTTGATAATTTATTTATTTCTCTGTTTTAAAATCTGTCATTATTGATAAATTTTTAATGACTTAAATTCTATTTTTTGAATTTATTGTTTTATTCATATTTATTATTATTATTTCCATTAGTTTGAATCAATTTCATAATAGTATAATTCCAATAAAACCGAAACCAAATCATATCAAACCAAACCATAAAAAACTAAACTATACTGAATCGAAATATATATGGCTTTTATATAGTTTAAATTTTCGTAAAACAGATAAACCATAAAATCGAAGAAACCGAACCGAAACCAAACCGAAAACCGAAGTGCTCACCCCTAAGAGAAACTACAAATTCATTGAGTGAAATGTGTCTACAGGAGTCTGTTCTCCTCGCAAGAAAAATGGCTTTGAACAAAAGAAAAAAAAAAAAAAAACGACTCATCTAATCTCCAAAGAATATTACAACGAAAGTAGGTAATATATCCACACACCTCTAATAATATCAAAAAAAAGGAACACCTTTCTTTCACCCAGACTCTAGGGGCTTGTGATAAATTTGACGGACAAACTAATCCAAATGTGGGGGGTTAAAACTTAAGTAGAGTGTGTCATGTCTTAGTAGCCACCCATTGGCGGCATTCCATATGGTGGCATGGGAGGCATTCCTGGCATTCCGCCCATTGGTGGTGGCGGACCATACCCACCACCACCTCCCATTCCGGGCATAGGTGGTGCCGGTAAAGCAAGTGGCAATAATTGGGCGTACATGTTCTGTTTTAGCAAACAAACAATTATTAACACCATAAGTTTATTTGTCAAGAGAAAGACTCGCCATGATATGTATCTGAGTGTAGCTGTGAAAGTTACCTGTTGAGACATGACATCCTTCTCTTCCTGCTCTTTGGCCTTCACCTCTTTCTGTGCCTCCAGCTTGTCCTTGATTAGCTCATCCACTTTGCCCGAGTACTCTCGGATGAACTGCAAAATGAAGGGGAAGGGGATTACGAAAGTTCAACATTTGCTTCAGAATCTCATCAAGCAGAGAGTATCTGAGGGTTAGGATAAATCACCTGGAGTAGATACGGGAAGGCAAAATCGATCATATTGTTGATCCACGCAAGTTCTAGAGCAACGTCTGGTCGGACTAAATCATAACATACAAAGAGACATGTAGCAAAGCATTCCTTTTTCCCCTGTATAATAAGCACATGGGATGTTAATTTACCATTAGGTTTTTTTTCCTGTTTTACCAAATAAATAAATAGCTTTTTTAGATGTATCCATTCCATACCTGTTCAATGAAGTAAACCAGCAGTTGCTCCGCAAGTTCATGATCGCCGGATTGTGAAGCAGTTTCCATACAGTCTTTGTACATGCTATCTTTCTTTGACAATGCAATTGATTGCTTCCATCTACCCGCTTTCTTGTAGATATAAGCAGCCACACGTCTCATTTCAACAAGCTCGTGCTTCTCGATCTGTTAGCACCATTCATAGGAAACGTTATATCATCGTTCAGGCCATCATACTTTTTGTAAAGATAGAGGTGTAGTAGAATTAAACTTTACCTTCTGAGCGAGGCCTATCTGGTCAAAGCTGTCATGTAAATCAATAGACTCGCGCAACCTGTCATAGTCTTCTTCTTCCACGTATATCTCATTCAGGGCTTCATTAACAGCAGAGACATTGTTGCTCTGAACTGCAACCATGTATGGCTTGATAAGACGCAACTGACCAGCCTGAGATCAGGAGAAACCGATTGTTCTGTAAGACAGTTGGGCTGTTTTTAGGGGAAACAAAGAAAGAATCATTGGTCAGTTTCTAACCTTCCGCATTATATCAACAACACGTGTGTGATCTAACCGCAAAGCAAGCACGTTGAGAAGATCGTTGATTATATCAGGATGCTCTTGTAAGTAGAAATGCACAGCCTTGTAGTACAGCTCGACATTCGCAACCTTGGCAACAATGTCTTTGAATTGCATGTGCTCCCATGCTTCAGGAGAATGGTTCATGACAGTGGTCGCGGCATTATCAAACTCATCATATTGAATGTACAGATAGGTAAGTTCCTGCCAGTGCTGTTGTTCATCACACGCCCGTATAAGCTTGGGAATATTGAGGCGAGTGGAGAATAACTTGATGTGTTCCATAAGTTTCTCATAACGATATCTAGCATAGAGTACACCCAACTCGGTGAAGATACCCATGTGAGCACGTTCCAGCCCAAGTCCACTCTCCATAAGTGAGATTAATTCATTGAAGCACCCTCTGTTCTGGTAGAACTCGCTGACTTCTTCCAGGTCATCCACCTATCAAGCACCAAAAGATTACCCGAGGTCCGGGATATATATACATTAGATACATCGGGGTTTATAAGTAATATCAAAATTTAAAACCCGTACGAGGAAACTTGTGTGATAACGATCCACGGAACTAAGATCAGCTAATTATTCACCTGAATGATAATGTTAAGGCCACAAATCTGGGCCAACCGGAATTCCTCTGCATCAACACAAGCAAAGCAGACTTCCTTCCATGTCTTTGCACTGTTTGCTTTCCTTGCAGCATCAACAGCACCTTGGAACTGTTGCAACTTCACAAGGGTGACAGCTAACTTGCCCCAGTTTGATATGAACGCGTAGATTATTTTTGCAGCCTCGTACAAAGTTTCGTCATACAGGCGATCACCAACATTTTGTAGGTTAGCAACGTTTGGCATCAGAATGAATTCTTCAATCTCACCCAACCTATCGATCTTTGCATATGCATAGATGAGCTCACTATCAACCTTGGGTTCCTTCACCTTTTGTCTAACCATCAGAAGGTATCTAACCAAGTCATCATAGACATTAGCATCTTCAGTAGCACGTATGACCACCAAGAAATGAGTGGCGTCATCAGCACGGATAAAGGACTCAATTGCATCACTGACCAGTCCTTCCCTGAGTTGAGCCTTTGCAACTTGGCTCCAGACAGAATCTTCTTCGACCCGGAAAGCAAACTCAACAGCACGCTCAATGCTTTTGACGTTATCTAGCAATACGTTGACAGCCTGAACATTTAAGTTAAACTTCTTGAAAATAGAAAATGCTTCCTCAAACAACTCGGCTTCAACTGCCACTTCTCCAACAGCAGGTCCATCAAAGTTGTCCAGCCTGTTAATGTAATCCATAACTCTAGATGGATCAGCCTTGATAGCTGTCAATATAAGA